GCATCCAATTTCCACACAGCAAAGTCCTACAAACGGCAATAAAGTAAATGATTTTCTTTGGAGGATTGTTGGGCAGGGCACTGAGAAAAACTCACTTCTGGTTTTGAATACAGCAGTACCATGTGTTCTTCAATATCCACGTGAACAGATAAATGGAAACTCAACTTCACGTCTCATCTCCAACAATGCAGCACCTGCCAGCGTTAAGATTGTGAGTTTTAATTTATTCATTTTCCAACCAACTGCCCTGCATGAATGGCATTATATAACAACAACAATTTATACAGGGTAGCTTAACAGTTGTGGAGCTTATTGCCGAGCCGGGGAGAGGGAGGAAGGTGACCATAACAACAACAACTTGCACTTAGGTAGATTGAGAGAGGAAGGAATGACTCACTGATTGAATCTATTTCCTTCTCTATAGAATTACATTGTCCACCCAAATCACTTTCTAAAGGCCCATTTCGATATTGAAGACTCACTGTGTGGCAGCGTGGGTGTAAACCGCATGCTTTATGATTCACAACAAACCTTTTCTTCATTATTGGATTGTGTATCCATGACAACTATTTCCTGTGTGGAAAGAGGTTCTGGTCACTTGAAGTTCCAAGCAGTTTCCTTCTGCAAACGGAAAAGCTAAAGATCTAGGTTTCAAAATGTTCTGTGAAAAAAATATGTTCTGTACACATATAACATCATGATGTTGCACTTAGCTAATGAAGACATTGAGAAGCCGTTTGATGCGTTTCCATACATTCAACCATGAATCCTGACATCCAGGGCAGGCCATGTTCTCATCCCCTTTTGATAAGCAGATTGGAGCCTTTCCTCTCTTCAGTGCTCAATACAGTAGTAACTTTTCTTGCACTGTTTTCCACTGTGGTCGTATTATGTGGCAAACGTGGCGCATCATTTTTTGCTTCAAGGTTTGATCCATTAACAACAGCAACAACTTGCCCTTCACATGGGCAACGTCTCAGGGCACTTCAATTAAATTAATCAATAATATGGAGGACTTTGGGAAACAGCATTACCAGCAGAGAAAATAAACTGGCCTGAAGGCTACAATGGTTAGTGTAATATTTTGTAAATTTAGGATATATGTGTATAAACAGTTGCTAGTTGCTAATTTGGGAACTGTCCTTGCTGCTGTGAAGTTGAAATCTGAAACCTGGAATGGGTTTCTTGGTGTATCAACACATGTTTGTTTGACTTCAACTACCACTATTCCTAAAGCTGAATTTTTCTAACTGGCCAGATCGATGGGCCTGAGCCTGTCTGATTCTGCTGCACCTGACTGAAAGCAACATTTCCTTATTAAAGTGTTCAGCAAGAATCAGGCTTGTCATGTGTTCAAATATTAACAAATATTAACTAGTTACAGTTAAGAAGGCCCTTGGGCTCAGTTGACCAAAACACTATCCATACCATCTTCATTTACAGCATCAAGCTGACTCTTAAATGAGTCCAGTTCTGTTTTGTTCTGCACTCAACCACCCTATGGCAACTTGCTCCAGCTGTTGAACATCCTTTGTATAAAGGCAACTCCTGGTACCAGTCCTATCCCTCAGACCCTCTTGTTCTTGTGCTTTTTATGTAACAGAAATTATTGTTTCGGATTTCTTCGCTTTATTCTGTTAAGTACTTTACAGGGAATAGGCAAGTTAATGGGATCAAAGCAGAAATCTCACAAGATCACAAGATTGGTTTAGATGCAGAAGACCCATCTGCCCATTTGATCATACATTCAGAACACCTATTCTATCATCCTCCCATCACAACACCAACCTGTTCAAGTGTCCTGGCCTAATCCACCCTTCCTAACAACCTGTTCCAGTTGTTAATTATCCTCTGAGTAAAGATAAACTTCGTGGTATCTGTCTTGAAGTTGCCCTTTGCAACCGTAATTTATTTTGGTTACCCACAACGACAAAATGTGGAAAAACATCACTAAGCTTAAGAATATCTAAACAAGAATGAGAGTCCTAAGCATGCACCCACACATGGAAATTCCCATGTGGGACTAGAATACATACTGTTTCCCTGGGGGGACGCATCCTGCTTACCTAATCCCAGAAAGTATTAGGCACAGATTGGCAAGAGCCAAAGCTTCTCATGGAAACCTCACAGCTTTCATTGCAAATTGTGATGTTTTAGTTAGTTAAAATCCAGCAATGTGTTGGGATACTGCTAGATTTTAACTAGCTAAACCTCACAGCTTGCCATGAAAAGTATTGTCTGGCAAGTACAGCTAGGACCACCTGACCCATTAGGGCTTTGCCTCACGGGGTTGGGAGCAGAGTAGGATGACTCCCTGCCCCCAGTGACCGGTCTGCCCTTGCAAGTCCTGCCCTTGAGCCAGGCTGGCTGTGCTGCTGTCAGCAATGGCTTGCACCACAGCAGACATGCCTGGCTGAGGAACCGGACTGCCAAGACCGTCATTCCGCCATTCCGTTGCCAAGCAAGTCACCTTGGTCCAGATCAGCTCCAAGGACACCCCGCTTAAACCCCCTATCCCACCCTCGTGGAAGATAGTCACTAAATTTAAACCAGAAAGGGTGATAAAATCAGCATAGACCTAATGGGCCAATTGGTCTTCTTCTGTGTCATAGACTTTCTTGGATTCTATCTTGTAGCTCTATGAGATCTCCTCCGTGTTTTTAATAATAATATAATGATAATCCTTGCATTTGACATAGCGCTTTTCACATCTTTGAGACGTTTCAAAGCACTTCACAGAATATACTGTAAAGTGAATTGACTGTATATTTTGTGGGCAAAAAGCGGCAGCTAATTGCTCACAGCAGTGTCCCACAAACAGTTATGGATTGAATGACCAATTTTTATCATTGTTTCTGTTTTCTGGAGGGATTATTATCAGGTGTGTGGAGTAAGGAAACTTGCCCAAGGTTTCGTCCTGCCAGGAGTCAAACTCAGGTCTCTCGCTTGCGAGGCAAGTGCTCTAACCACTGAGCTAGTTTGAAGAACTATCACATCTAGCCTTCTCATAAATCTGGAGTCAATAATAATCCTAGTTATTATTATTATTACTGTATTGCCAAAGCACTTCACAGAATTTTACTGTGTATTTGTAGGCACACAGCAAATCAACCCTTTTGCTCTCCTCTATGCAGTCGAGGGCTTGGGTGATCGTTATGCTGTAGGGACCAGAGATGTAGAACTAATGTCAAACGACTGATTCAAAATGATGTTCCAAAATAACCTTATAGCATTTTCATCTGTAAGTTGTTTGATAGCAGAAATTTACATTACATTTTACATTCTGCCTCTCCCTGTTTTTCAGGTTATTAACCTGACTGACTACTCTAAATAAAGGATGAGAGACTTGTTGTAGTAAGTTAATAATCCTACAATAATCCTTGCATTTGCTATAGCGCCTTATCACATCTATGAGACGTCTCAAAGCACTTCACAGAATATACTGTAAATACACTCCTTAATCACTCTACCCACCGCCACCAAACCCACCTCTATCTCCTATCCCCCCTGGAAAAAAACTCTCCCCGCAATCCCTCTCCACTGCCCTGGAGTCATCTGAACTCCTCCCCCTCTTGCCTACCTCCTGCACTGTTTTATCCTCCTCGTTGACTCTCCTCCACAACTCCCTCTCCACCACTCTTGATGTCCTTGCCCCCCTCACCTCCCGAACCGCCTCCTACTCATGAACCTCACCCTGGTACACCAGCCACCTCTGCTCCCTCAAGAGTCAGGTGCGGGTCGCCAAACTCACCTGGCTGAAAACTAATCTAATGGTCCACCGGCAGATCTGGATGGACCACATCAAAATGAACCACTTCACCCTCGCCTCTGCCAAATCATCCTTCAGCGCTTTGGGACGTCCTCCCGACGTGAAAGGCGCGCCATAAATGTAATTTTGTTGTTGTTCTTCTATTCCAAGATAATCTTGAAGGTGAAGGACAACCCTGGGCTCCTATCCTCCACCACCAACCGGCTCCTCCATCCACCCTCCCAAGCTTCGCCCATTCTCTCTTCAAGCTCCAACTATGAGGAGATGCTGGATTTCCCTGAGTCCAAACTTGAGGGGATCCATTCAGCTGCATCCGCCCTCGGACCACCATTCCTTCCCCATCTCCTGCCCACACCCCAACCCCTACCCATCCCTCCCTTCACATTTTCGAACCTCTCTTCCCCTCCTCTCTCATCGCCGCCATACGCAGCGTGAAACACACCACACCTTTTAGTCGCGGCACTCATTGCGCAAAGAGTAAATTCTGGAAAAGCTTGGCATATCATGTCAGGAATAATATTTACTGCCACAAGTTTTGTGAGGATCCACAGAGAGTTAACATCTAGACTTCTAATAACAGAGGAGCGACAGATGGGTACCAGGGTCTGATATTGATGCCAGTTTCTTTAGTGCAATCCTCGCGGCTCACATTACGTTACGTAACATCGTCTTGGAAAATTGTAGACTTAAACGTCGACGTGACTGCCAGAGTCTTGGTTAAACTTTTTATTTCCGGAAACCATGACTCACAGCGGAGAAAATAGCACTCCAGCAATTGTGCCAATTACGTAATTTTAAAGTGTTGCCAATGCAGATGGTCAGGAGTGCACTCATGGTATCAGCTCCATGTTGACTGCATCATCGTTGATGTAAGGAAACTGCTTGTAGGCATTTGCATTTCTCGAGAGTTTATTGTGTACTCCTCGAGGGTTTCAAAGGGGATGAGACATTGCGAAACTGATGGACCGGCGCTCCGGGCGGTGCTGTGCAGTGCTGTACTGTGCGGCGCAGTGCTGTGCGGTGTAACACAGCGCAGTCCCGGCGCTGAGCGCCTCGCGGGCGGCGACAATGACTCGCTGACGTCACCAGGCCCGCCCTCCCTCTCTCCACATTGGTTGCAATGCGTCCCGTCTCGCGCTGTGATTGGAGGGCCGCCCTGTCAATCGGCGTACGTCAGGCCGGTGGGGGTGTGGACTGGCTGTTGTCAGGCGGCGGCTCCTGAGAGACAGACAGTTGGAGACCGAGAGCGAACCAGAGAGTGAGACACAGAGAGACAGAGACCACTGGAGAGGCACAGACAGAGGGGCGGCGGCGGCTCACACTCTCACACTCAGGCCCAGGTCCCGCCACAGCAGCGCCGTCACCGCCGGAGTGTCGTGTCGTGTCCCCTGGAGTCGACACCATGAGTTTGAAATCTTACCGGAGCCGTTTATCCGGCACGAGATGCTGCCTGTTCTGTGACGTCCGGATCGGCACTATCATCCTCGGGACAGGATACATGGTGGGTGTGTATGGTCTGTGTACATGGTGGGGGTGTATGGTCTGTGTACATGGTGGGTGTGTATGGTCTGTGTACATGGTGGGTGTGTATGGTCTGTGTACATGGTGGGGGTGTATGGTCTGTGTACATGGTGGGGGTGTATGGTCTGTGTACATGGTGGGGGTGTATGGTCTGTGTACATGGTGGGGGTGTATGGTGTGTGTGTGTATATGGTTTGTATACATGGTGGGTGGGTGTGTACATGGTGGGTGGGTGGGTGTGTACATGGTGGGTGTGTACATGGTGGGTGGGTGGGTGGGTGTGTACATGGTGGGTGGGTGGGTGGGTGTGTACATGGTGGGTGGGTGGGTGTGTACATGGTTGGGACGTCTCCCTGACATGAAAGGCGCTATGCAAATGTAATTTTGTTGTGTGTGTATGTGTGTACATGGTGTGTGTGTACATGACGAGTTTGAGAGTACATATGTGTGTGTACACGTGGTAGGTGTGTGAGTGGGTGTTTCTATACAGATGGTGGATGTGATTGTCTGTGTATATGGTGTGTGTGAGAGATTGTGATAGTATACATACACTAAGCGGATGTCAGGCGCAGCAGCAACTAAGAAGGCGAACGGCATGTTAGCGTTCATTTCGAAAGGTTTAGAATATAAGAGTAGGGAAGTCTTGCTGCAACTGTATAGGGCCCTGGTGAGGCCGCACCTGGAGTACTGTGTGCAGTTTTGATCTCCTTATTTAAAAAAGGACATACTTGCCCTAGAGGGGGTGCAGCGTAGATTCACTCGGTTAGTTCTTGGGATGAGGGGACTGACCTATGAGGATCGGCTGAATAAACTAGGGCTGTATTCTCTAGAGTACAGAAGAATTAGGGGGGATCTTATTGAAACATATAAGATTCTTAAAGGGCTGATAAAGTAGACACCGAGGGACTGTTTCCCCTGGTAGGAGAATCTATAACCAGGGGTCACAGTCTTAAAACTAAGTGTCAGCCCTTTAGAACAGAGTTGAGGAAACATTTCTTCACTCAGAGGGTAGTGAACTTATGGAATTCACTACCCCAGAAGGGTGTAGATGCTCAGTCCTTGAACATTTTCAAGGCTGAGAGTGATAGATTCTTGAACAATAGAGGGATTAGGGGATATGGGGATAGGGCAGGTAATCAGAGTTAGGTGAGAAGATCAGCCATGATCTTATTGAATGGCGGAGCAGGCACGAAGGGCCGAATGGCCTACTTCTGCTCCTAATTCTTATGTTCTTATGTTCTGTGTACATGGTGGGTGCGAAGAGAGAGAATGTGCGTGTTAACCTGGTGGTTGCGAGAAAGTGTGGGTGAGTGTATATGGTGGGTGAGTGTTTGTACATTGTGGGCATGTGTATGCGTGTGAATGGTGAGGGTGTGTGCGCGTACTGTGAGGTTGTGTGCACACACACGGTGAGGAACTCTGTGGTTTGGAGACTTAAGTATGGTGATGGGTTTCTGCGTTGTGTTGGATTACCTAATGCACAAAAGAAAACACTTAATCTCTGATCATGGCATGCGTTTACTCCCTTGGACATGTTTGGCCGAATGGCCTTCTTCTGTGATGTGCTGTACATTTCTACGGTTTCCCTTCAATAGTGGCTAGGTTTTGAACTATCGTGCTCCAGCCCTCTTCCATAACAATTTAGCCTTGCTCCCTGTTCCCTACTTTCAAAACCATTCCTTAAAACACACATCTTTGACCAAACCTTCAGTCAACATCATATTTCCCTCCTCAAGTGTCCACAATTACTCTAATGTTCTAACTGTTTTGGTGCTTTGAGATATTCGTTTAACAGGAAAGCAAACCAAGATATTTCAAAATTAATTTCCTTATTTACAATCAGATAACAGACTGGAAGAGGAAGCCCCAAACATTTTATGTACAACTAAAGAAAAAAATCCAGTCTTCGTCATCTGCAAACTAAACTAGTAATTTGCTGCCTAGCAGTCCGCTTGCTCCCTCAGCTCGGCAGGCATTGCCCTGCTTCATCACCCCCTCCATGCCTATGTTTCACATCCCCCTCACTACCTCCCAACTCTCTGGAACTCCTTTCCAGATTCCCCTCAGCTCACACCTTCCCTCGCCTCCTTCAAGGTTCGTCTCAATACCTACCTCTTCTTCAGGCATCTTCCTCTTCTCCAGGACCCTACGCCTCTCAAATCCATCCCAGATGTAATGCAAATTCTCAACTGTTCAGTGCCTTGGGTGGGGGAGGGATGTTTCCCAACATGATAGACACTATAGAAATATAATTTACTGTAATTTTTTATAATAATAATCCATGAATTTGATACAGTGCATTATCACATCATCAAGATGTCTCTAAGCATTTCCCTCGGAGAAGTTCCTCTTCTAATAAGGCCATGGGATCTTTAATATCTACTGGAACATGCAGACAGGGCCTCAGTTTAATGTCTCTTCTCAAGAACAGACCTCTGATAATAACAGTACTCCTCCAGCACTGCATTCTCACCCTAGAATGAGTTCAAATTCTTGATCAAAGCAAACTTTGAACAGCATAAATAAGTTTGCTTGGATTGTGACAAGTGGCAATGCTTCAAAAAGTAGGTATTGAGAATATCTGTTTACAGGATCAGCTAAGAAACTGCTCGAGGAGGAGTTGTATTAGAGAAGACTTTAACATAAAATTTTCATGAAATCGGACTTGTGTAGTAATGAACAGTTTTCAGGAAACAGGATGTGGAAGTGAAAGGTGATGATGCATTTTGTAAAGCAAACACAAAATGTATGCTAAATGTTGGCAATGTAGCTCTTGACTATGTTCTGTATATTTGGGAAAAGAATCAATGTTGAATCAAGTACTGTATTTAACTTCAAGATGCTAGATAGGTGACCTGAAGAGATTAAATTTGATTCACCTGAAAATGATTCACATAGCATTTATTGCCTTGGCAAATTGCAAGCATTGATGCGTTTTGAAGATTTGGCTATCGACCAAATTCCTTGATTCCAGATTCTACCACAAGCAAATCAAATGTTTTTAAAATTCTGTATGCCACTAATCTTCCCATTGATGTTGCAATTCAGGAGGTGGATGAGCCTAGACCAATCAATAAATGCATTGATTTAGTTGATTTAGTGACAAAACGGGTCAGACTGGACAGGGAGCTACATACCTAAAATGCTGTACTAACGTCACTGGATCATGCCTAACACTGGATTCTCCAACACCTTGTATTTACTCTAGTTTTACTGTCAAGTCTTTGATAAGTTCTAATTTTCTAAACTTAATACTGAGGCTCTCCTGCTTGATTCCCGTCGGCAGCTTCTCACTTCAGGGGGAGAATGTCAACCTGTGACCTGCGTAGAAGCTGACTCCACCTCATGGAGCTATTGCAGAAACTCAGTGTCTTGAAACCCAAATTGTTCCAATCCCAGTTGTTTAACCCCAAATGTCCTTCAAAAGCTGCATTCTAGGCTCTCACTTGCTCATTTTCTCCTCCGCAACAAAGCCTGCCTCTCCCAATAATTCTTCCCCCTGGCTCCTGAGACCCTTGCTGATCTCTTCATCACATCCAGCCATCATTATTTCAGTGCCAAGCTGCAGACCACTCAGAACTCTGAACCCATGTCTTCTCTTGCACCAGGATTTGTGAGTTCATGACCCCCCCCCCATCCATGTTCAGATTCACTGCCTCCTCATCCTCTAGTGGATTGAGTTCAAGATCCCTACAGGACTAAGCTCCACTGTCTCGGCTAAATCTTTGCTCAAAGCAGCCTGTTTAATGTCTTCCAACCTATCTGCCCCACCATTGTTAGACAAGTTTTTAACTATTTTGCCCCTGCTCTCTGACACTCCATCCCTCTACTTAGCCCCCTCCCTTCCTAGTTTCAAGACTCATCTTTTTGACCATGCTTTTGGCCAGCTTCCTCCCCCCACTGCCGTAGTCTGGGCTCCCGGTCAGCTCACTTTCAGACCGATTGCCTTCTGATATGCAAGGCGCTATGTACAGTAAATGTAAATTCACGTAAATCAAGGTGTTTCAGGAAATAAACAGGATTTAGGACCATTTCTTTCTGGTGCTTTGTTTTATCTTTTTCGATTTTAATTTCTACATTGAATTTTAGAATGTTGTCCTCATTTTGTTGGTCAGGAGATATTACTACAAAAACTGCACTCTTTCCTTTTTATCATTTGAAAACACTGTAATAACTGGGCATTGTGTGTATTTACAATGTACTGAATTTCAAATACACACAATGTATGTTGCAAATACCCAACAAATCTGGTTACCGGTGTACAATATTAGGGACTCCCCACTTGCTTACATTATATGTTGAAAATTAATATATATTGTTTGTCTTATTGTTTTCTGTAAAACCAAAAGAAATGCTATATTCGGAAGCATTTGACTTGATCTGAGTTTCATGAACGTTTATAATATTAGTGTCACTAAAAACATCAATACATGATTTGGCAAGAAGTCCAGTTTGAGTAAACCTGAATAATGCCTGTGATTGAGGGTCGTACGTAAGGGAACCATCCCCTTCTCCCTGTTGCTATTTCAAAGAAGTTTGGGAGTTTTTCTCATGGGTTATTCTGGCGTACAAGTCATCTTTTTCTTAGATTCAAATTAATTGACTGCTCAAATTGGTTATTATTACTTATTTAACTGTTATGAAGTTTGAGTTTAAAAGCACTGTTTGAGTTTAAAATCCTCTTCCTCACTTTTAAAGGGCTCTCCGATTTTGTGTCTTCCTACCTCCCTCTGTGACTTATTAACACCATAACAACCTGTCTGCTCCCTCCGGACTTCAGGGATTGGCCTGCTCCACGGCCCCTGCCCTGACTGCCCCACCATTGGCGATTGGGCCTTCAGGTTTTCTGCCACCACCCTTTGGAACGCCATTCCACAGTCCCTTGGCCACATAGAGACAGGAGTAGGCCATTCAGCCCCTCGAGCCTGTTCTGACATTCCATAAGTTCAATTACACGCCCTTGCCCTGTATCCCGTAATACCCTGACCTAACAAATAACTATCGACCTTAGTCTTGAAGATGTCATTGAACCCAGCATCCGTAGCCTTTTGGGGGAGAGAATTCCAGATTTCCTCACCCCCTTCCTTTAAGGCAAGGAGGGGGCAAGGCGAAGGGACTGTGAGATGGATTTCCTATGTCAAGACCCTCCTCTTCGAACGCACCTTCAGTCTCCCTCCTACTCCCACCCTCCTTGCCTTCCACCCCTCCTAATCCCAACCCCCAGCTTCGGTGCATATCCTTGACTGTCTAGTGCAGTTGTCCCATCTGTCTGTATTCAGGTGAGCGTTAAAGATTTCAAAGACTTGATCCAAAAGTAAAGGAATGTTTTCATCAGTGCCTCTCCCCAAATTATCCTGTTCAGTACTTGCCAGCACCTGATCCTTTCTGGTTCAAATTCCATCAACCTCTCTAGTTGCTTGTCCAACCTTGACGATTACATTCATGGTGATCAACTTCACCATCAGCTGTGCTCCACCTTCCATAAATGCCAACTCTTCCAAAACTCTGCAGATTGAGTTGTTTCCCAAGCAAGACTCTGTACATCTATTGCATCTATCCTGGCTCCCAGTACAACAGATGAACTTTAACCTGATCTGCCAACATGTGATAAACTGGTGAAACAGGCTTGAGGTTTTAAAGGACTCCTCTTATTTTCAATTTTCATAAGTTTCCATTTCTTATTCCTGCTCCTTATTCCTATTTCAAATGTTCTGAGCTGTAATTAAATAGACTATGAAGTCATTATATAAGTGCAAATAGTTTTCTTAATTTCCACTTCTGTCCAAATTTTGTAGCTGATGTCTTAAAATTTTAGATTATTGTGACACAGAATATGCGAGAGAGGTTATTGTAGAACTGTCATTTTATGAGATCCATGTCAAGTAAGCATTGCAAACAAATTCAGGATTCCTAATAAAATTACACAGAATTGTAATAACCTTACAAAATTTGGAATATCTCACTTTATAGTTGGGGGAAAAAAAATATTATAGTATATTGCTTGACATTGTGTATGTCTAGAGCTTGTTTTATTATCTGAGTGCAAAATGAATTATTGCAGCGATTGAGAGGATACATAGGAGAGCAAGCAAAATGATTGAGGGGATGGAGGGACTGGTCTACGAGGAGCGATTAGATAAACTGGGCATGTTCACAATGGAGTAGAGGTTGAGAGGCGATATGATTATGGCCTTTAAGATTCTAAAGGGAATAGGTAAAGTAGATCATGACAAGCTGTTTTATCTTATATTGAACAGTAGAACTACCAGACACTTGTACGACTGAAGAAGGGGAAATTCAGAACACATCTGCGGAAACATTACTACAGTGAAAGAATAGTAAATTTATTGAATAGGCTTCTTAGGGAGACAGTGGAAGCAGAAAATGGTATTTGTTTCAAGAACATATTAGATAGATTTCTGCTATAAAATAATATCTTGGGATATAGTGTACAGTTTAGAACACTCTATGTCGAGTGACTGCTAAGATGGTGGGAGGAGAATTAAATAGACCTTGGTCTTTTTTCGCCTGGCAAATTCTTATGTTCTTAATGTATTCTTTTGAAAAAGGTGGTGAATTTGCTGATGGGCATTTTACTGACTGTGGCAGTGACACACCCTGAAAGTGTACCCCCACTGGGGATCCAATATGAAGTCATTGGAAATTACTATTCTTCAGAGAGGGTTGCAGGTATGTATTCTATTACATTTTGACATTTAAGTTTGTCCAGTACATCGTCATAAAGACTTTTATGATCCACAGACTTGCAGACTGATGCACTGATACAGCCTTTGCACTCAGACCTATCTGATCTATGGAGGCAAACATGTACCTTAACTCAGCCCCTTCTTCAATTTGTCTTCTCTCAACCTCTCACTCTAGATTTATTCCTGGTCATCTTTGCAATCAAAAATAGAACCTTTCTGATCACATCTTCACCACCTTCAAACTACACATTGTTTTAACTGTCTCAGGCTATCTCATATATTGATCTGGGGGGGTGGGAGGGGGCGGAAAATACCCAGTAGCTCCCTCACCTGCATTTATTTTTTGCTACATCATTAAAGCCTCAGTGAATCTCAGCAACAATCTGCTTCTGATATAGTTGTTCCACAAAAGACTTTGCTTTTAAACTTCCTCCCATTCCAGCTCTGTCAACTAGTTTTCTGGTGCACTTTGAGTGTTCTTTTATATAATTGACATTGTATACCTGTTGTTTGTAGGATTGTCCTGTAGTTGTAGCAGATTTTAGCACATATCAGCTGTTTGGACAAATACGATTCTGCTGATGTGAAATGTTTTTGCTTTTGTCTTTCTCCACACTGCACAATGGCACTAGAACATTTGGGAAGATGACCAATGTCAGTGTTAAAAGTGTTTTCAATGTAAATTCTGAAACAACATTGTCTTTCATTTTAGTGATAATTGCTTTTGTGCATAATTGAGAAATATGCACTTTTGTGTTCAAGTGAAATTTGATTCCTGCCAAGTACTTTGCCAAAGAATTAAAACACATTCTGGGACTATTGATTTTGGTTTTAAAATCTCCTTGAAGCTACAAAGGAACATTGTAACTGCTTCAACATTCATTCTGTGTGTGTAAAAAAAAGCTTTGAAAGGTACACTTGCCACACGGCAAATTAGCAAAAGAATTATAAAAGTTGATATTTTCAAGGCTTTGGCTTATTTATCTAAGGTGTCAGACTGACACGGTTGGTAGCATGATCTCTTCTGAGTCAGCAGGTTGTGTGTTCAAGCCCACGTCAGGACTTTGAACCTGTAATCTTGGCTAACACTCCAATAGTGTGCTGGGGGAGCACTGCAATATCAGAGTGCAACATCTCCTTCAGGTGAGATGTTAAATCAAGGTCCCGTCAACCTGCAGAGGTGGGCATTAAAGATTCCATGACTATTTGAAAAGTGAAATGAATTTCTCTTGATGTCCTCGCCAACAGGTAAAATTGGACATTCACTTAATGGCTGTTTGTGCACATTGCTGTGCACACATTGGATATCATGTTTATTTGCAAAATATAGAGTTTCAACACTTTTCGATAAATCCTTTAAAGCGATTTGAGACATCCTGCCAACATAAGCCCAATTCTATATCACAAGAATGGTCTGGAAGAAGAAGGCTATTTGGCCTATCCGATCTCATCCCTCCAGAATACCCATCCTCCCATTGCTTTTGCACCCCCGCCGCTCCCCTCACTCACTGCATCAAGAAGCTTTTTAAATGAGCTCAGTGTCCTGACATCTACCAAATTTCCTGGCAACCTGTTCCAATTGTTGATTACCTTTTGCATATAAAAAACTCTAATATCTGTCCTGAAATTGCCCTTTACAGCTCTAAATTTAGTTCCTCTTGTTCTACTGTCATGAAACATTCTAAAGTAATCATCTGGGTTGCAAGGATTTTATTTATTAAATTCTGGGGCTAAACTCCCAGGATAGACAGAATACTCAATTTTCTCATGCTGTAATAGAAGAAAATTTACACAAAATAATGTCATTATGGACCCTCTTCAACATGGAACTGGAAAAAATGGTGTTCCAGCAAACATGCTCTCATCACAAATCACAAGTAATCTTTCCCATTGCAGACTTTATCCCATTAATTTAACTTATTTGAAGGAAACTTCTACAAAAATACCTTCTGATCTGAGAGGAACATTCCAGAATATTCATTCACCTGTCTTCATTGTTCAAACTCTGCTTATTTCCCCTCTCCTCCGATAACATGCATAAGCAGAAAAAAAAATTGTGTCATCATTTTAATTTCTACATATTTCCATTTCTCATCCGATTTTTAAGGAAAGGAAATGCGTGGTTGCCTCCGTCCATTTAGTTGTGGAGTGGCCTTGATAATGTTAATTGCTAATCTGATACTATGGAAAAGTATTTCCAAACATTAAAACCTTTAATGTTGACATCTGTGATGGTGTTTATTTTAGGTAATAGATAATTGAAGCTTTTTGGCCTACTTGGATTTACTTTTCAGAAATCTTACGAAGTCAGACATAAGATATATGTGTTATCAAAATAGCTGCACATCTGTATTCTGATTAATCACAAACACATTTTTTCAGTACCTAAATAAGTATCAATGCTGAATTAATCAAACCGTTTCCAAATTATTTATCTCACCTTGATTTTGAATGTTCATCCTGTAAATGCAAGATATGTGATATACAACAACACTTTGGACTTAAATAGCCCCCTCCACGCAGGGTAGTGTCTCAGAGTGTTTAGCGGGGGGGGGGGGGGGGCCTGACTCCGAGCCGCGGGGTGGGGTGGCCGTAAGCACTGTCGAAGAGGAAAGTTTTCAGCCGGGACTTGAAACAGGAGAGAGGGGACAAGGTGGAGGGATTGAGGATGTTCCAGAATTTCGGGGCGTAGCAGCTGAAAGTGCGACCTCCGATATTGGGGCGGAGGGTGCGAGGGACGATGCCAGTCAAGCGGAGGCGCCGGGTGGTGGATTCGGGAGTGATACTTATTTAGGTCAGAGAGATGGGGAGGTGCCAGAGAGAGAAGGGATTTGAACACAATATGGCCTGGATTTATATGTTGACCTGACTGGTGAATTAATACTAACTCCCATGTTTGGAGTTTAACATAACAAATATCATTCCATGGATTTCCCTTGAGTGATTTTGTCCCTCCTCTCCTTTCTACTTAGAAAATGCTTGTGTTGGATTTACCATCTCACTTCTGATGTTTACCATTAGTGCCATGTTAGTGTATGGTGCAATCACTGTAAGTATTGTTTTAGCACAATGTGCAACTTAATTAGAGATCTGATTTACTTAAATGCAGTGTTTGTTGGGACATAATTCACAATTGTATTTGTCAACTAATAAATTGGTTTGGAGTCTTGTAGTGTATTGGTTAGAGCACTCGCCTTACAAGCGAGAGGACCCGGGTTTGATATCCGGGCAGGCCGAAACCTTTGGCAAACAATAATTTAGTCATTAAATCCATGACTGCTGTGTGCAATTGGCCGCCACCATTTGTCCACAAAATTTGCGTTACAGTATGTTCTGTGACTCCCTTTTTGAGACTTCTCAATGGTGTGATAAAACGCTATATCAAATGTAAGGTTTATTATTATTAAATCTTTCTTTCCTTAGTATCGTGGACGCTGGCTGATTCCATTCTTCTGCTACCTATTGTTTGACTTTGCCCTTTCCTGCCTTGTTGCCATCAGTTCCCTCACCTATGTGCCCAGGATTAAGGACTACCTTGAGCAGTTGGTAAGTGTAAGTCTTTAAAAGGATTAGTATTTGTTATCATGATTAGGCAATATTAAAGTGTTGCTTGTTATGAAAGTATGACTTATTTTTATCTGGCATACCAGACCCAGTATTTGCGCCATTTTAGTTCATATGTTTTTCACTTAAACATTTGAAACAATAACATTACAGTGTAACATTAATGTTGGTATCCAACAATCTTTTTAGATGGAAATAAAGGAAACAATGTCTGTTTGTATTTCTTAATTAATACATTGTATACTATTTGGCAACTCTATTAGGTTAATATCATTTTCTGTTCCTAGCAGAACAATATCCTCCATACAGGAGGTAACCATTCAGCCATTGATCTTATTCTGCCAGTATATGAGATCATAATAATAATAAAAAATAAATATATGATTATTATGAGATCATGACAGATATTCTAATCCTATTTTTCTGCTTTTTCTCTGTATCCCTCAATACTTCCGAAGTTGATTTGCCTGTATGACCTGCTTATTAATCTGTAAAATGACACACATAACCAGATATTTATAATAAGATTAAATGATTTATTTCAATAATTTGAAAGTGATTTATTTAATTAATTAATTTATTTAATCGTGGAGTCCTGTAGCTCAGTGGTTAGAGCACTCGCTTTGCAAGCGAGAGACCTGAGTTCAATCCCAGGCAGGGCGAAATCGTGGGCAAGTTTCCTTACTCCACACACCTAATAATAATCCCTCCAAAAACCAAAAACAATAATAAATTGATCATTTTCAATCCACGACTGTTTGTGGGACATTGCTGTGCGCAATTGGCTGCCGCGTTCGCCCACAAATATACAGTCAATTCACTCTACAGTGTGTACTGTGAAGCGCTTTGGGACGTCCTCCCGACGTGAAAAGCGCTATATCAATTGCAAGGATTATTATTATTATTATAATTATGTTTTTTAAGGTGATATCAGACTAGTGATCTGCTGTGATACCCTTGCCAATGTGTGCCACCTAGTGGCTGGATATTGAATACGAAGGCATCTTTCCCGACATATTGTTTGCTTTTCTGCCTCCTTTGAAGAAAGCACTTTTTTTCCTTTACTTCCTTCTGCAACTTCAGTGGTATAACTGAGATTAGAAACTCAGATTCTACAGCACAGAAAGATGCCATTCAACCTATCGTGGCTGTACCAGTTTTGTGAAAGAACTATTTAGTTGCCCTGTTCTTTCTCAATACATACATTTGCAAAGCTCTTGTCACTCTATAATTTAGAATGTTATAGAACTGATGTGCTCATTTAACTGGTGGCTTTAATGTACAGCACAATTTAGTTCTTAAGACAAATGTTCTTTTTCTTTCAGCCTGATTTTCCTTATAAAGATGACTTACTTGCATTGGACTCCAGTTGCCTCCTGCTGATAGTTTTGCTTTCCTTCACTATTCTGATTACTATCAAGGTAAGAACATTCACTATTAGCATAATTTAAGCACATGTTGCTGTCTTAAATTCTTGTTAGTACTGAAATATCAATCAAAATTGAAAGGTTTTATTTACATTAATATGATTTAATTATTAGTGAAATGTTTCATATCTAATACTTTAGCTTGTACCTTAACCACAAACATAATTTTTTTAAAAATGTGTTGTTCAATGTATTTAGTACAATATCAAGATGAATAATTTCATCAAAATAGTTGTTGTAGAATTGAAGCTATATATTTAATTGTACATTTATCAGTTTTTGATAGATGTGCCTTTATTGTTTCTGTTACTTTTAAAATTAATCTTATTGCAGGATGACTCCTGGTACAATATCCCATTAATTAGATGTTGAATCACAGGATCTTTATCAAAAGGAATCTCTTTCAAATTAGGTACATATCTGGTACAGGTCTTGGTGAAGCATTCATTATAAAGAATGACACAATTTGTAATCGTTCGAAACTGACTTAGGGTCACTTTTGCAGTTTGTCATCCAAATCAAGTTGTAACTGCTTTAATCAAATACAGTTGCAAACTACATGGTTTAGCATTAGAATCCTTCAGATGAGAATCCTTTCTGTCCTTCGGATGAGATGTTGTGAGGTCATGTCTCCCTGTTCAGATCCCGGTGTCCTGGTCAACAACCTCCCAAAAAATTGGTCACTCACTCCATGGCTGTTTGTGGGACATTCCTGTGCGCAAACTGGCTTTCTGCATTTTGCCTACAAAGTATAGTCAGACCACCTTGCAATCTAGACTATGATAGGCTTTGAGAAATTTTGACTGTTTTAAGGTGCTGTATTAAATATAAGTAGCACTACAAATACCAATTACAAATCATTTCATGCCCTGCCACCTCCCTACCTCTCTGACATACTTGTAGCCCATTCCTCAGCTGGCTCCAGTCTCCTGAATGTCCCTCGTCCCCTCTACTCCTCTAACAGCAATCATGCTTTCAGCCACAACCCCAGAGCTCAACCCCACCGCCTTGCCCCCTCCAGGCCCATCTTCAAATCCCACCTGAAGAACTTCTTCCTGATTGTACCAATTGGTATCAAGCTCCACCAATGTTAAGCACTCTGAAATGTTGCTTCGTGTGAAGGGCACTATATAAATGCAGGTTGTTGTAGCAATTTTCCTGTATTGCTTGGAAACATAAACATTCAGCAAACAATAGTATCCATTAACTCCTAATTAAAATCACAGGTGCCATTGTGTTAAATTATATTTATTTAGAATATCAACACGACTTTGAGTCACGTACTTTTTTGTAAATGTCTTTATGTGCATAGAACTGGACCATGGGTTAATAAATTCACTGATTGTTATTATGCCTTTGCACAGGCTTATTTTATAAATTGTGTGTGGAACTGCTACAAGTACATCAACAATAGGAACATGCCTGAGATTGCAGTGTATCCAGCATTTGAAACTCCTCCACAGGTATGTAAATATTTTAAAAATAATGGGGTATTGGAGTAAACCATTCCTCTAACCTTCCATGGTGAGGGAGAAAGGGAGTAAGATTGAACATTAGTGAGTCATTATTGATTTGGAATCTGCTGGTCTCTGGCAGCTGTGTTTCCAATGCAAGTTCAGACATGTTTCCAGTGATATATATCCAGAAGATGTTGCAATTGGAAGCAAGAATCTTAGATTTTTTTTCTCCATTCACCAGGGGTACTGAGGCGTTTGTGGTAATCCTTATATGTCATTCAGATCAAGTCAACACACACTGAAAACCTAATTGTTTGAGTGGTTCGACTGACATGCTAAAGTGCTTTCAATTGTTCTTGAGTTCAATTCCAGGCAGGGCGAAATCTTGGGCAAGTTTCCTTACTCCACACGCCTAATAATAATCCCTCCAAAAAAACAAAACAATAATAAATTGGTCATTTTCAATCCATGACTGTTTGTGGGACATTGCTGTGCGCAATTGGCTGCCGTGTTCGCCCACAAATATACAGTCAATTCACTTTACAGTATATTCTGTGAAGCGCTTTGGGACGTCTAAAAGACGTGAAAAGCGCGATATCAAATGCAAGGATTATTATTATTCTTGGGGCGGCGTATTTCCTCCCTTTTCACTTTTACTTGAAAGTTAATAATAATAATTATTATTATTATTATTATTATTATTACTTGAAAGTTGAGTTGTACGGGAATAGAGTTGTATTAGTGCTCAAACCTTCATTAAGTAGTTATTCTTTAGAATTTGGATAGTGAGTGTCAGCAGCAGGACAATTATCCTCGCTCAAAAAATGCAGAATAGAAATAAGAGGGAATACCAGATAGCAATTGGAGGAATCGTGGTTGATCATGATTCCTCCCTTCTCCCCCCCTCACCCACCACCCTCCCGGGCACTGAAATGCTATCCCTGTGAAGGGCGCTATATATAGTGAACTCCTAATAATAAGATGCTGGATAATATCATCACATGTCGTATGTCTTCCTGGTTTCAGTATACTGGCTACTTCCTATGTAAAATGTGAATAAGGCCCCCCCATCCCCCTTATTTCATCACAAGCTTATAACATGTAAAGTTGCATTCTATACATCCCAGTAAGTAAAATATCAGATATATCATTGGAGCAAACTCACCTGCGCTCAGCCTCGCTGTGCACCAGGGCCGCTGATGCCCTTGGCCTCTTTGTAACACTAACAGTTCCTCGCTCTATGCAATGAACACTGACCAGGGATTGAACTTGTGATTCACTACTGCACCCGGAAGTCCAGTCTAAATTGAATCGTGGGGAGAACTCCTTATCTTTCTAACCAGCATTTCACTAAGAAGACAGAATGATACCTGTGTAGGCTAACTTTGCAGATGCTTTTTCTTAAACATATTTAGATTATGGCATGTCAAATCCAGTACTGTTTCCATGAGCAGAATTATTAAAAAGATCTATTTAGGTCTATATTCATGCATTTTTGGCGCCAGGCTAGTTGTGGGTTATTGTAATCCTTTGACGATTTGTTTTTGTTTTGTAGTATGTGCTGCCAACTTATGAAATGGCTGTGAAGATGCCAGAAAAAGATCCCCCACCTCCTTACATGTCCAATTGAACACCACACAAAGCAACAACAAAATGAGCTTTCCTCAGCAAATTCAAGCCTTGTTACCTTGCATTTAAAGCTTTAGCTTTGTAAGAAGTATTCTGTACTTGTATAAAGTTTCAGAATCTAAATCTAGAAAATTATATTTTGTATGTAAACATATAATTGAAGCTAAAGAGAAGCCTTGAATAGTGAAGATTTTTTTTTAGAAAATCTTCCTGCCCTGTTCCTTGACTAGTTAATATTTTCATTCTTTGTAGGTACAGATTTTTTTCCAATTGCTTTTTCATTGTAAGATGACCTGCTGGAAGCATTTCTATTTTTATATATTTGCCTGACGATGTTGCGAGAAAGCAATGGTAGGTTAAAATTGTTCTGCATTTAACCCCAGGAGAAGAAACATTTTGCGATAGTACAGGGCAAGACCTGATATTCTCAAAATATTCTGACCCAAGGCAAATTGTTAAATACCTGCTTTCAACCGCTAGGGGTTCCAGTGATCTTTTTAAATTCTAAGAAAGCCAGCTGCTGAGACATAAATTGTATACTACACCACAGTAGTTCCCTCCTTTTCACAGGACTATCCAACTTTGCATTCTATTTTAATGCAGACCCCACCATATTCTCTCTCCCAGACTGTTAGAGGTTTCATCCCTTTGACTGGTGGTTATTTTGTCCCTTGGGAATATGGAGATATACTGTTTGTGTGGAACAAATACATTATTTTTGTGCACTTTTCCTTCTAAAGCCTTATATATGTAATGTAATCCTTTTTGGAGGGGACAAATTAAACCTTATTTTGTAATGTTTATTCGAAATTTTACTCCTACATTATAGTTGTACGGGTATGAAGTTTCATTTAAGGATTCCAAGGAAATGGCATGCCGTACCTTTTGTGTTTTGTGATTTTAAGTATTAATAAATGTTTCAGTTTATAAAGCAAATAAACAGTTTTTTTTTGTACCAGTGACAATCCTCGGGTGGTTGGAGTTAGCGGTAAGTGTGATTTTCTTGGAGCTGAGCTGGCTCGGGAATGACATTATTGATAAATTAATGTGGACAGGTCCGAATCTGAATCAGTCCACCAATTGAAGTACAAGGAGTGAGGAGGGACAGCCACTATGATTGGCGTGTACGACAAACAACAGTGGAGTGACCTGAACTGTGACGTACTCAAACGGGATGGGGCTCTGTTGGCAGCATGTCAATCAATTCTCAATGGATCACTTTGTGATAAAGAGAGGAAAACATACTGCACAATTCGGCAGCGGCAGAGGTTCCAGTAAAACACAGAAGCCGAAAATAGGATGTTTATTTCAAACTGAGAATGCCAAGGCATCAGTGTGTGGTATGTGGTGACTTTCTGGCAAATGTGTTGTCTTAATAAACTATGGGAGGTGGAATTGTTTTTTTTCTTAGCTTAGGGAAACAAAGTTTGAGAACCCCTGATTTATAGCAATTGGTGTCACCTAGAAGGATCAAGGCACCATTTAAACATAGCTTTTCAAATAGTGCCATTTGGTCTTTGACCTCCACCCGAACTGGCAGACAACAACTAGGTGTAACATTTCATCCAAAAGGATAGCACATTTGACAATGTGGAACTACACCTGAGGATCAGCCTATTGGAGCTTGAAATCAAAACCTTCTGACTCAGAATCAAGAGCTCTACCAACAGAGCCAGGCTGTAGCACGAATATCATCACATTTCCACCAATTTTCCTTTCTCCTTTTATACTGAGTTTATGCTGGTCACTCTATGAACAGTGGTGTGATCTGGAAGCTTGCAGTTATGTTGGCTACTGGCATCAATATGGATGGGACAGTGGCAGAGTTCCACGCACAAGCACTCAAATACATACACAAAGAGCGATTCAGTGTCTCCTTGTACGATTGGTGTGTTTATACCTCCTGGAAGTAGTTGATGTGGCAATGGAAAAAGTAAATGGCTTTGCGGCTGAACATTTGAAAAAAAAATTCAAATCTATAATTGTGATAAAGTAATGATACAACAACTTAATAATAAATAATCTTGCATTTGATATAGTGCTTTTCACGTCTTCTCGACATCTCAAAACGCTTCACAGAATAGACTAAATGAATTGACTGTATATTTGTGGGCGAAACATGGCAGCCAATTGCACACAGCAGTGTTGTATTTATATAGCATCCCTCATGCAGGGTAGCGCCCCAGAGACTATACAATATTCTGGCAGGTGATGAGCTTGATGACATTGATGTGGACTGGTACAAGCACCATGGACTGGAGGACAAACACCAGGACAATGAAATCCTCACTAGCACTACTCCTGAGGTACAGCCAGCACATGATTTACTCCATAACAAATCCATAAATGACAACAAATTGCATTTTATATCATACCTTTCATGTTGGGAGGTTGTCCCAAGGTGCTGGACAGTCAATGGTTTGCACCCGAGCTGGAGGTTGGAGTCGAGAGGAATGGAGGGCAGGGGTGGTTGGAGTGGGACTGACTGCCGATGGTGGGGCAAGCAGGCTGGGGGACATGGACTGAGCTAGTGCCTGCCAAACAGAGGGAGTGGGCAGGTTGGTAAGGTGTTAGCAGGTCAAAGAGGTAGTGAGGAGCAGGGCCATCTCTGGAAGACAGGGAGCCAATGAAGCCGGGCGAGGATAGAGGTGATTGGCTTCTGGAGCTTTAGGGATGTGGGATCTTAAATTCAATTCGGTGCTTGACACTTGCGGAAACCCATCACTATGCTTAAGAGTACCCAAACCAAGCTGGGGAAGCTATACATAGGGACGCATTCTGCTTACCTAATTCCGGAAAGTATTAGGCGCAGGTTGGCAAGCCCAAGGCTTAGTTTAGCTTAATAACTTGAGGTTTAAATGAGAAAACTGCAGAAAGCGCACTGAGCTACTATTATGATCACTAATACACTACTTTCACCAAGAGCCGAGCCCTACGTTGGGGTACCAGCTGAAACCGCATAGCTTGCCATTGATACTGCTGTCTGGCAAGCTTTCCCACTGCTTGTCCAGCTAGAACCATCCTACCCTTTAGGACTTTGGCTTGCAGGGTTAACAGGAGCTGTGCGGGATGACTCCCTGCCTCCAGTGACTAGTCTGCCCTTCCGGGTTCTGCCCATGAGCCAGGCTGGCTGTACTGCCATCAGCAGTGCCCTGGAATACTGTGGGCCCACCCGGCTCAGGAACTGGACTACCAAGACCACCACAGAGGGCTGGCCCGATTCCGACATACCATCGCCAAATACATCTGTCGCCTTGGAACCTGTTCAGCTCCAAGTAGACCCACTTCCCTCCCCCCAAAGGAGGATAATCACTAGTTATGTCATTCGACATGGGACAAGCATGGGTTTGAGCTCTCACTGGGTGGATGATAGCTACAAGAAATGCAGTCGAAAAATTGAGAGTTGAGAAGCGACTTATGTTCAGCTTCTGTTTTGTTTAGCTCAATAACTTGAGGTTTAAATGAGAAAACTGCAGGAAGCACACTCTGCTGAGCTACTATCATGATCACTAATACACTACTTTCACCAGTTTCCACTCTGTTTTAAATAAAGTCTGTCTATTTCGATGGGCGATCGAAAACAGAACAAGCGCTTTTCTTTCAAATGAATTCAACTGAATTCAGTGGAGGTGCAGCTTAATCAATTTTTAAGTACATATTAGACATATATTCGTTAACATATCACATTGCTCCAATTAATAGAACAGTGTGTCTGTAACAGGATCCTTTCTATTGCAGCAGCTTCTGAAGATCCGTTTTGCTAAAAGCTGAATTGTTTTGTGCAGTAATATCTGTGTTAAAAGCCAACTCGTTAATAAGACATTGAGTCGACATATTATCCTCCACTAAAGTTAACAATAAAATATAAAGGATCGATTGAGTCAAATCTGGTCTGAACGCAAACCATGGAAGGCTATAAATCCCTCATGCACTGTATATACAGTACACACCACAAACGCATCTGGAGTTGTATTTGAATTTTTTTTTACATCATACAGAGACTAACACAGAACTATAGTGCAATCCACAAAGCTTTGCAAACGCCTAAATCCAAACACACACACACACATATCGGGAAATACCTTTTCACTTCTTTATTTAAGACTCACAATTAAGAAACGACGAGTTTCTGTATCTTTTTTTTGTAACGTTTGCATATTTGCGAACGTGTTTCATTTGTGTTTCAATCCAAAAATAAATGCCCACCAAGAAATACACACAGCAGGAAACAGTGTTAGAAATTGGTAGATCTGTGGGAATGGCTATAATTTCTACCTGTCATTATTCGTGCAAATTGTGTTAAGACAATTTAATAAGATTGAGTGAAACTTGTAGTATGGCTGTGGATGCACCAGTGCTTGGCAGTGGCTTTAAGGTGGGACTAAGAGGAGTTTAGACCCTGGAAGGTGTTCAACATTCATACCCCCTTCTCCCTCTCCCTCTGTGTGTGTGAAAGATCCTCCCTCCCAGAGATTGGTGCAGTATTTCACACGTGCCTCGGTTCAGGAGCTTTAAAGTCTCCCCAACCCTGTGTGCAATCTCCAGTGAGAGCTGCAAAAAAAAAACTCTCAGACGCTCGCCAGAAAGAGATAGAGCTGTGTGAGAAGGGAAACCCATCATGAATCTGCTGGAAAGCGGTGTTCTCTGCTGTGTCCTTGTGGCGATCGTGCAAGTGGATGGAAACAATTATCCTCATCACAGACACTGGAGCTTCCAGGAGCCACCAACTCCCAGAGACACTGAGCCAGCCCTTGCCCAGCACAGGAACGTCCAGCAAGGTACATTTCCAATCAAAACCAGCCCAGGAATTATTTCTTACTTGAAATAATTGCCAACACCATCCACTGTTGTCAGGAGTCCATCACAAAATCTGTCCATCTCTTGTTTAAATGATCATTATTTCCACGTTGGACTCTGCAAAAAAAAAACAATAAACGAAATAGTTTTAGATTGATTGAAACTGTAAAGAAAATGAATTAACACTTACAAAATTATCCCTGAAAGAGCAGCATCGTAAAGTATTTGGGAACTCGGCAGATGTGACAAATTGCATTTTAATTGAAGGTGTTAGGGATATTTTGTAATTGTTATTCTATCACTTTTATTATCTGTTTACAGTTTCACCTTGAAATACAATGCAATTTACAATAAATCAACAGATATTTCTCCCGATAAATGTGCACATTTTCAATGTGTTATCCCAATAAATGTCATATTTTATTTCCAAATGGATTGTGGATTGGCTGATGTTTTAGTTGCTGCACGTCTCTGATTTGAATGGAATAGTTTTGGTAGTTTATTAATAATTGGAATCTATTCGATAATGTAATCACAATGAATCAGATTGACTTATCTTTTTTCAGTTGGCTATCAGCTTCAAATATCTCAACAAAGTGTGTAAAACTTTTTTTTAACTGCAATAGATCTATTGAGCTGGAAATTGGGGCAAGTTAGTTCTTCTACATTTAAATTGTCTGCTAAAACTCAAAACCTCTCGCAGGCGGGATCTTATTTTCATGAGCTTTTAATTCGAGCATCTCTCTTACATTGTCGTTGTGCTCATTTCCATAAATTCTGTAAAAACATTTTTTAACACAAACCTTATACCATCCAGCACCTAAAGGCATGAAAGGTGCAAAAGGCATGAAAGGTGTTATATTCTATAATCAAAGTAGGTATTGCTTTTCTAATAATAATAATGATCCTTGCATTTGATATAGCGTCTTAGAACATCTGTGAGACGTCTCAAAGTGTTTCACAGAATATACCGTAAAAGGAATTGACTGCATATTTTGTGGGTGAAATCGAAAACCAATTGCACAGAACAGTATCCCACAAACAGTCGTGGAGTGAGTGACTTTTTTTTAAGGGATTATATCCTCCAGAAGAGCGATCTGCCAATCGACTAACAACCGGGTTCCTATTTACTGTTTGGTAAAAAGAGCTTTAAAGTACTTTCTTTCTAAATTCCACAAATATTTTGTTTGCTTATATTAAAAATTTCTTTTGTTGGACAGCTCAAAGGAGACTCGCTTTCCACAAGACATTGCAAATGTGTTTGAACCATGTATGTCTTTTTCTGGGTTCAGGATGGCCCACCATAATAATAATATGTTCATAATCTGTAAACTAATCTTTCTGTGGAATGATCCTGTTTTTCGGAGTGATTTGAAACTGCTTTCAGATTCCAATTAAGGGTAAACTGAGAAAACTGCAGTGTTTATTGTATGCCTGGCATTGGTATGGTGCAAAAGATCATGTTGCAGTGACATCAAACAAGCTTGAATCCAAGACCACAGCTTCTTGAGAAAAAGAATCATAATTTGTAATTCATAATCAACACTTGAATTTTAAATTTCCGTTAATTGAATTTTAAGTGTTCCTTATTTCATCCAGTCACAGGATTACAATGTAAAAGTCGACCCCATGACCTGGTTTTTATCATCGATAGCTCCCGTAGCGTCCGGCCCCAGGAATTTGAGAAGGTGAAGATCTTCTTGGCAGATATGGTTGACACATTGGACATTACACCTGATACCACTCGGTTGGGAATAATCAACTATGCAAGCAGTGTGAAAATAGAATTCAAGCTCAATACCTACAATAATAAAGCTGACATAAAACAGGCAGTTTCCCGAATTCAACCCCTTTCCACTGGTACTATGACAGGCCTGGCCATTGAGAAGGCTATGAAGGAAGCCTTTACTCAGACATCAGGGGCCAGATCTGTGGACCAAGGAATTTCCAAACTAGCCATCATTGTGACAGATGGGAGGCCCCAGGATGAGGTAGCTGAAATAGCCAAAAAAGCTCGAGCATCTGGCATTGAAATCTATGCTGTTGGGGTGGACAGAGCTGATATGCAGTCTCTCAGACTAATGGCCAGTGAGCCCTTGGATGACCATGTCTTCTATGTGGAGACATACGGTGTGATCGAGAAGCTGACCTCCAGGTTCATGGAGACACTTTGTGGTAAGCTATCTCTCTGTGGTTAGTGGTTTATAGTGGTAACCAAAAAAAAAAGATTTTTTATTGAATGAGGAGAGCATCGGGAGTGGTGTCTGTGCATTCTTAATAATGTTTGATACAATTTGTTCCTGGACTAAAGCTGAAGTCACAGACCAGAGAAAATATGTATTTCTGAACAAATGTTTGTGTGCTGTTTTAGAATTTTGACATTTACACATTTCTTATTAATAAATATTAAGAAATATTGCAAATTAGACATCATTGGATAAACAAATCGTATTAGGGTCTAAAATCATCCCTTTTATATCTAATAAGAGACTCGTTATTAGGTGGTTAGGAGAATACTGAAAATATTTCAGTGCTTCCAGATTATGACTGTGATACAAAAAAAAGTTCACAGCTTGCAGTTAAAACAGCTCTTTGACTGCTTTGCTTCAGCAATTGTGCATCAAGAATGCATTTGGTGGAATGCAAAAGCCTCCCTCTTTGTGCTTCTGTGGTCAGGTGGAGAGACTTCGTGTATTTTTACACTAACTGAGTATACACTCACTGTTTGAGTAAAAATCCTCTTTTCTTAGTACCAGACATAATATTTCAAATGGTTGTTCATTCCTGGCAAATCAATGGTACTGTTTTTATGTTTGGGTACATTCTTGGTGGTTGACAGATGCCTGGAATCTATTTGGCAGGCAGCTTGCGTCCTCCTGATTCCATCACAGCTCTCTGATTCCAGCATTTCTAGCACCCAGGAATAGTTCTCAAAATCTTCTCACAGCCTAGGCATCCCACCTTATGTCACATATCTTGAGAGGGAAGATAAATGTTCCATTTTTCAGTCAGTTGCTAGTGGGTATAATAATAATCCTTGCGTTTGATATAGCACATCATCACATTGTCGAGACGTCTCAAAGAGCTTCACAGAATAGACAGTATTGTAAAGTGAATTGACTGTATTCTGTAAGCAAAAGCAGTAAATAAATAAATAAACAAAAAGGTGGCCAAAGGGGACTTGTCCATGGAATGTTACCCAACATATCGATATTATATTACTAAAAATTTCCATCCTTAAGTCAATTTATAATAAAAATTACATTTCAGCGTTGCAAATCAAACTATTCAACTGAATGACAAGAAAAGTGACCAAAAAACTATATTTTATGATGAGTGCTATACAATTAAATCTAAAATAAATGTTAAAAAAAGTTATTTTTGGGACGTTCTCTGAAAGGCTTATAAATGGAAAAAAAAATGGTATCTTGTTGTTGTATTTTTCGAAACTCTTAGGCAGTAAATCCAAGAAAATTGGTTTGTATGATTCACGATTTTTTTTCCAAAATAACTCAAAATGTTTTAAAGAAAATGCTTAATGTTTTGCAAAGTTCAAATGAAATTTTAAAAGGCTGAAAGTGATTTTCCCTTCCCTATACGCCTAAAAGTACAAGTGCTTGTAGTTGGATCAATTAATTTCAAAGACAATTATTCTACTTTGTCCACAAAACTACATAAATATACAGTATATATTATCTAATAAATGCTCCTTAGAGCTGCTGTGAAACAAATGAAATTAATGAAACAAGTAGTTCATTGCAAATCTTAGAATCTTACAATATTAAATTGCTATAGTAAAACATTCATCATTATGCTGGAATATAGCACTTAGCATTTGCAGGACATACAATAGTTTGCAAGGTTTGTTTTATTGTATGTTTATAGTAAGAACGTAACATTTATCACTTGTGCTATTTTTGTTTCCCTCTAATGTTGCTGTTAAACGGACTTGTTTCAGGTGTGGATATGTGCGCTGTTGGGAATCATGACTGCGAACAAATATGTGTGAGCACCACAGAATCCTATTACTGCAGGTGCCGTGAAGGGTTTATCTTGAATGAAGATCAAAAAACTTGTTCAAGTAAGTCACCTTATTGCCACGTGCTTTACAGAAAATAGCCTTCATATTTGAGACAAATTCTGGAATCTCTGAAATGCTGTTAATGGAGTAAATCCGGGTGGAATTTCTCCCACAGGTTTGATCTCCAAATGGATACAGAAAATACAACAGCCCCATTCCTCCATTACTCCTGTATTAATTAATTATTATCCACAAGAACCTATTGACTGGTGATTTATGGAGTTGGAGCCAAGGTAGAGGGGAGGTGATAATCTCTTCAGCCTTCCATATTCAATATTTTGTATTGAGGAAATATTTACTTTTCTTTTTCAATTTTATTTTAATATTTTCACTACCCTTTTCATTCATTGTTAGCATTAAAATGCACAATTGATTTATAAAAAGATTGTAACATTTCTAGGTTCTTCATTTTTTTAGACTAATTTAACTCTATTTCCACCAAATCAGTGGAACTGTGCAGCTAATGACTCACAGATCTGCTCCTAACATAGCTGACACAGGTAAGCTCTCAGCCATCATCCCACATGAAGGATGCTAAATAAATGTAAGTTATTGTTGATGGATTGATTGATGCATTTATAATCTTTAATATTCAAATGTATCACAGAAAATTTTAAGGAAGAATGTTTCAAACTCAAGGTAAGTACTTCCAAGTGACTATAAAATTCAAATATTTAGCTGTTAAACTTTTTTGCAAGACACCCAGAGAGAGGCAAAGATTTACCCACCGCCGGTGTTCATGCTACCGTTGGTGCAAAGCACACTTCAGAGCACAGAGGGGTCAAGGACTGTAACAAATATGAAATCTTGGTTTACACTTAGAGTTCAGAAAGAGAGCTACAAACAGTGCTGTAGTGAAAGTGATTCTAGTCACTTAGAGCCCATGTCCCACCTTTCCATTTGTGGTTGAAATGTTTTTAGCTGATATCAGGATTGCCAATATTCATTTGAAAGTGGTACTGTTCCTGAAAAGATGTTTGGTGAATGGTCTGCATTTGGTCGAAGTAGAAGAGCCAGAAAATCGGTGTGTCATTCTCATGTTTATAATATCTATTATTATTATTATTATTATCTAATGATGTGATAATGCCCTTGACATTTTATTCACAATAAGCCATTATCATGAAGACTTTATCCCTTTAAGCAAGCAAATGGAATGAAGATAAAACATTTGTTCCTTTACAGCTGTGTTCAGCTCAATTCATTCAAAGGCAAAATAACACACTATTGTAGTCTCGCCACACTGCTTAGGTGCTTTCAGAAGTCTGGGTCATCAAACAAAACAGTCACAACACTTGAAATGAATTATCTGGAAGAGTTTTGTGATGTTTTGATGTGATATGTTCTATACGTTGCAGAGTAATTTAACCCTGATAAGTTAATTTCCTATTGACCAACACACATTAATGCCATTAAAAAATTGACCTTGTAGGGTTTTCTGGTGTAAGTCTGCTAATTGTCTATTATTACAACTAATGCAATGAATGAATGAATGAATTAATGAATAATAATAATTGGCTATTACTACAACTAATGCAAAGAAATGAATCCTTTTATGGCTGTGAATGCACTTCAGATTCTTTTCCCTTCTGTTTTTGTTTGAAATGCTTTAAGAATGTTATTCTTTTTACTTTAGAAGAGAGTGAAAATGTTTCTCTCTTCTCAGCCCTGGTGCTCTGCAACGCATTTCTATGGTAGATCGTGATATATTTATTATGATCATAATAACTGCTACACTGTCATTTTCCTGCTTGGGAAATTTACATTATTTTCTTATCATTTACTATCCCACTTTACAGGAACAATTACAATATCAATCATTTACTACAAATAGGGATGATTCTAACATCTGTCCACAGTCACCATATATAATTTTCTTTTGTAGAAGTTCGCAAACCAACCCCTCCTCAAAACCCATGCAAGTGTGAAGCACTTCTTGATTTTCAAAGGAATGTCCAATCTACATTTCAAGCACTTACCAGCAAATATATCCTTTTACTGCGTTGTTTATTGTAGATAATGTAGACCACAATAAGCTCTTTTATCTTGTACTGAATAGTAGAACCAAAGGACATGGCCTGCGATTGAACGGGGGTAAATTAAGAACAAATCTGTGGAAACACTACTTCAGTGAGCGAGTAGTAAATGTGTAACAGGCTCCCAAGGGAGATGGTGGAAGCAGAAAGTGTTGATTATTTCAAGAACAAATTAGATAGATTTCTGTTATCTTGGGATACAGTATATAGTTCGGGACATGATTTATGCAAGTGACTGCCAGGATGGTGGAAGGCAAAATGAATGGAAATTGGGCTTATTTTGTCTAGCAAATTCTTATGTTATGTTCTTATTACAGTAAATTGTTTGCTGTATTTTGTTCCTAATTTTCAATGGTTTAGAAAACCCATCACAAACATTCTAATAACACCCAACAACAACAACAACAAGATTTAATTTATAGAGCGCCTTTCACGTCGGGAGGACGTCCCAAGGCGCTGGATAGTTGGGTCGGGACCTGAGCAGAGGGGAAATGGTCAGGGTGAGGGGAGGGAAGGGAGCGAGTAAGGAGGGGGTACAGAGTCGAGAGGGGAGCTGAAGACACGGTCACAGAGAAAGGTCTTGAGACCGGCCTTGAAGGAGGAAAGGGAGGAAGCAAGGCGAACGCACTGGGGGATGGAGGTCCAGAGCCTGGGGGCTGAGAGGCTGAAGGCCCGACCACCGATGGTAGGGCGGTTGGGGCGGGGAATGTGGAGCAGACCGGAGCCAGTGAAGAAACTGGATAAAGATAATGCATCTTTTGTATTAGCTATCTTTTTTTTGTCAACTACATATGTAAGTAGGACTTTTTTTAAAAACAGAATAAAATCAGAAGTCAGTTAAACAGGCTGAATGTTGGCAGTGCAAAGATAGTTCAAGGTACAATTCAAATAGTTTGGTGCAAAACATTTCAAAGTGCTTGCCAGCTTTTCTTCAATACCCATATGATATAATATAGAAATGCAAGCTAATAAATAAATGTTTCGCAGTTGTGGTAGCAGAAATATTAGATTTTCATGTTAGAGGATCAGCTTATTTTTATTTTCAAAGTCTTTCTCTCCATGAGGCAAAATGCTGTTTGTAATATAAATTATCACTGGCGATAATCACCACATCACAAACTGTATTTTTCCCACCTAGATGTCAACAGTGCTAAGCTTAATGCTGTATTTCCATAATTATTGTAAAGTTAAATGGTAAAGATAACGTTGCTATCCTTAACTGCTGAACACTGGAGGAATTAACATCAAAAGTGCAAGGATTTCAGTACATCCTGGGTCGATACTGAACATTGTGCAAGCACTCTGTTTGAAGGGTGCACTATTTCCCCCCTTTCGCTCATTGGTTTTACTATAACTGCCTCTTCTATTGAGGAATACTATTTCAAAGCTTTAATTGTAATAATGTCTTTCTGATAATTGCAGTTGCTTTTATTTTCAAGCTCCAGTGATAGCTTTTAAGAGGTGTGAGAGATGCAGAGAATTTTAGACATGTGCCTTGAGAACAATATGGGAAATGCAAGGTTGGCTGAAGGCCATATGGCCCACTGAAGCTACAAATCACTCTGTCTCTTTGCGTTTTCTACATATCTCATTCACTTTCTGTTTTTCTAGGTCTTTATAAGTAGAAAATCGCTTTATCTTAAAAACCTGGAGGAAAACAACACACTATTTTTAGCGCTGAGGGTATTTGGATTCCATTGGCTAAACTGCTGAAACTATTAAGCACATTATTTAAATGCTGTACCAGAGCTACTATTATATTTACACAATTAGCAACTAAAATATGCATAAAAGAATGCTCAGAAATAATATGTACAAACAAGATTGTTTGATGTTCTTTGCCAGAAAGCCAGCAATGTAAGCTTAACTGAATATAATATCTTGTCATTGTTAGAAATGTAAAGAGATGCTATTGACATCATTTGGCTACAGTTTCCCTTTTGAATAAAATGACAATCTTATTTCAAAAATTATCAAAAGATATATTTGATAATAAATGGGTTGAAAAAGTTATATGTGATGGTTCAGTTTCTTGTGATAATTAATGCTTGTTCAACTGTCATTTGCAGCCTATATGAAAGTCTGTTCTAGGGAAGGTTCACGTTCATTGGGAATGTGTCTTGTTTGAAAGTGACCTTTTTTGGAACAAAACAGCTTATGTCATACTCATTTATTTCCACAAACAGTGTGGAAAAATAATATGTGCCTTGGCGCAAGGTTTGGTGCCTTACAATACTAATTAAATCCTGATCATGTTTAAAGACTGGAACAACAACAACAACAAGATTACATTTGTATAGCACCTTTCACGTCGGGAGGACGTCCCAAGGCACTGCAATGCAGAAGCTTGATCTGGGAAGAGAATGATAAACTTATCAGCGTGACATTTATACAGGGAAATAAATCGGTTCTAAAAGAAGCAATTCATGAGCAGTATGGGAGACCAAAAGCAATAAATCCAAGTCAGTGTGGGTGTATTAAATGCACAACATTCCTAACAAGTTTATTCGAATTCTATAAGGAATTCTACAAGGAATTCCAGGCACCACATCTTGAAATATCACTCTCACATCTATCAAATCCTCCTTCAGACTTTTTTATTTTATAAAAAAGGCCAAATTTATTTTGCCTAATTCAAACCATACACTTATGTATGCCAGAAAAGAGAGTGACCATTTGTTAGATGTATACTGATTCACTTATGTAAAAGATAATAATCGCCCCAGCTTCTATCATATAGGCCATCAATGATGGTCCGAAATGTTCATTGATATATGTAAATGAGGATTACCATTGACCAGAAAGCCACAGAAGTGTACCCAGGCCAGTCATATCAATACTTTGGCTACAAAAGCAGAGCAGAGAGAGGTTAAATACGCCACAATTTCTAATCATCTCTAATTCCTCAAAACCTCTCCACAGGTTTTAAGTGGAGTTCTGTAGCTCAGTGGTAAGAACACTCGCCTTGCAAGCGAGACACCTGGGTTCAATTCCGGGCAGGGCAAAATCTTTGGCAAGTTTCCTTACTCCACACGCCTAATAATAATCCCTCCAAAACAAATCAAATAATAAAATTGGTCATTTTCAATCCACGACTGTTTGTGGGACACTGCTGTGCACAATTGGCTGCCGCGTTTAGCCCACAAATATATGGTCAATTTACTTTACAGCATATTCTGTGAAGCGCTTTGAGACTTCTAGAAGATGTGACAAGCGCTATATCAAATGCAAGGATTATTATATTATTATTATAACTAGGGAATGTGATGAAATACCACTTCACCTGGATGGGTTCAGCTGCAACAATGCTCATGAAACTCATCACCTTCCAGGAGAGAGCATCTTGCTTGAACAGCACCACAGTCATTTAGGTCAACATCCATTCCCTCACCACCATCTGGGAGTACAAAACAGCCATCATTATAATACCATTACATCCAAGTATCCCATATCCCACTCTAATTTGGTCATCTATTGGCCAGTAATTCATTGTTGTTGGGTCAAAATCTTGGCACTCCCAACCTAATAGAGTACTGTATCATTGAAGGAGTACTGTACTCTTAAACGGGCAGTTCATTGGGCTGCACCAAAGAATTTCTAATTTCAAATCTACAATACAATACAAATCCGCAGGATGGAAAATACAATTGTTTATTACAAATTTGATGTGATATAATTAGACTCAACATCATTTTAAAAAGAGTTTCTCTGGCCTACATTCAACAACAACAACAAGATTTCATTTATAGAGCGCCTTTCACGTCGGGAGGACGTCCCAAGGCGCTGGACAGTTGGGTCGGGCCCCGAGCAGGGGGGAAATGGTCAGGGTGAGGGGAGGGAAGGGAGGGAGCTTCCTCCAAAGGATAATCACTGGACTGCAACATCAACAACAACAATTTGCATTTATATAGCATGGGGTATGTTCGGTGGGCTCAACAAACCTCATCTACGTTCTCCAGCTACCAACCTATCTCTAACCTGCCTTTCCTCTCCAGGGTGATTGAATGAGTTGTGCACCTCCCAATTTTGCTCCATCCTCTCCCACCAATCCCTCCGTGAGTCCTTCCAATCCAGTTTCCTCCCTATGTACAGAACTGAGACTGGCCTGGCTAACTTTGCCAATGACATTCTCTCCATTTGCGAAAAAGAGTCTTTTTGCCTCATCGTTCTCTTTGAACTCTCTGCCAACTTTGTTAACAATTCCATCTTTCTGCATCAATTCTCCTCCCTGCTCTGCCTCCACTGTTCTATCATTTCCTGATTTTACTCTTACCTATTCCAGCAACTTCACTTTGTGTTTTCCAATGACTTCTCTGCCTGCCTCCGCACAGTCACATGCAGCATTCCTCAGGACTCTATACCTGGTCAGTGGTCTGAGACGCAACTGAGAGCGCAATATAAATGCACATTATTGTTGGTACTCTCCTTTTCACCATCTATATGCTCACACTTGATGATATCATTCACAGACAATGGAGTCCACTTCGGCATGTATGCGGATCACATCTAACTCTATCTCTCTGCCTCCACCCTTTATTCCAGGACCAATAATGTTTTGACCAATTGCCTGTCAGAAAGTCAGGTAAGTCTTACATGACTTTCCTCAGCGATGTCAACCAGTTCAAATATCTCCTACTTGTGTTGTTCCTTGCCAGTACCTTCTCACCTCAGGCAATGCCTGCATCAACCTGCATGTATGGTCACTTCGCCTCATAGAGTCAGCCTGAACCTTTGGTATCTTGCTTGTCTCCAAACTGTCCATCAAGCTCTACAATGGACCAAATGGCCTTCTTCGGTGCTGTGCATCCGAGCTCACTCGCTGAACTCATCACTCGTGACTTGTACAGCACTCATTCCTTCGGCTGTCACTCTCGGATCTCACTCACACCATCACACCTCTCCGTCACCACCTGTCTCCCCAGGCCGCCAAGTCCCTCGTTCATCACATCCAGGCTACGTGATGATACTGCGGCGGATTATTGTCATTGGCCAAACCAATTAGTGATTACTGATTCTGATAGTTTGCGGTTTAATATTGCGTCCGTAAGAGCTGATTGGCTGAGGTGATGACAGGGTGAAGGCTGGACTTCTGACTGGCTGAAGGAGGGGCTGTCTCTGATTGGCTAGTTGAGGGGCTATCTCTGATTGGCTAAATGATTGACTGGGTGGGGGCTACCTCTGATTGGCTAGTTGAGGGGCTGTCTCTGATTGGCTAGTTGAGGGGCTGTCTCTGATTGGCTAGTTGAGGGGCTGTCTCTGATTGGCTAGTTGAGGGGCTGTCTCTGATTGGCTAGTTGTGGGGGCTATCTGTGATTAGCTAAATGATTGGCTGGGTGAGGGGCGGTCTCTGATTGGCTGTAGCCGTCTCTCGCCTGGTTACCAGGAGACGCGTCTCCAACAGTCACCGAAGAGCAGCGGCACCGAGGCCTCCCGCGGCCCGAGGCCTCCCGCGGCCTCCCCGCGGCCGGTGTGAGCCATGTTCATTTATCTGAGTAAGAAGGTGAGTAGCCGGTGCGGGCGGACGGACTGGGCCGCAGCGGCTCGTGTTTATAAACAGCAAACGGCGTGTGGAGCGCGGGATACTGTGATTTAACCCGTCCCAGAGGAGCTGCCGAGGACAGCAACAACAACAACAACATCAACACCAACATTCAATCAGCGCCCCGGAGAGGCGGGGGAGGGTGGGCAATCCCTAGTAATAATAGTAATAATAATACTGGCATTTGATATAGCGCTTTTCACATCTTGTAGACGTCTCAAAGCGCTTCACTGGTTTTAAAACTCTTGTAAAAGTCCCTCTCTCCCTCTCTCCCTCCCTCCCTCCCTCCTGCCCTCCCCCCCGGGGTGTCAGCCCGGCTCAGGCCGGAGCTCTCGCCGCCCGGGCAGAAGGTTGCGGGTTGAAGCCCAATGGCTCTGAACTCACCAAGTCTAGGCCAGGGGGGTCCACACAGGGAGACCTCCGCGGGCCACACGCACAGCACTGTTTTGTCCGGATTGGCCTGACCCGTTTCCGAGCTGAGCCTGAATGGCCCGCGGGGTGGTGGGGGGTCTGTATTTGCTTGTTGGACAGTACTGTGGGAAATGGTTCCTGGGCCTGGATGATATCATCCCCTGGGGCAGCAGTTGGACCATCTTGGTCTAAGATGACCCTGGTGCAGTACTGGGGGGTGCTGGCCTTGGATGAGATGTTCAACCAAGTTCCCCGCTGTCTGCCTGATCAGGGGGATGTTGAAGATCCCATGGCACCATTCAAAAAGAGAAGGTAGTTTCTCCCAACGTCATGACCAGGAGAGGATGTGGGCGCCCAGCAACCACCAGATAAAATTGGTCATTCAATCCATGGCTCTTTGCCAGCTGTTACTGTGTGCTGCCAGTATACAGTATATCCTGTGAAATGCTTTGAGATATATGTCTTCACAGCATGATAAGAGGCTGTGTGAAACACAATAATAATCCTTGCATTTGATATAGCGTTTTTCACGTCTTCTAGACGTCTCAAAGTGTTTCACAGAATATACTGTAAAGTGAATTGACTGCATATTTGTGAGCGAAATGCAGCAGCCAATTGCACACAGCAGTGTCCCACAAACAGTCGTGGATTGAAAATGACCAAATTGTTTTGTTTTGGAGGGATTATTATTAGGTGTGTGGAGTAAGGAAACTTGCCCAAGGTTTCGCCCTGACTGGTGTCTCGCTTGCAAAGCGAGTGCTTCAGAGCACTAGCCTGGCAAGCGAGAGAACTGAGTTTGATTCCCCAGCAAGGAAAAACCTTGGGCAAGTTTCCTTACTCCACACGCCCAATAATAATCCCTCAAGAAAAACACCAATAATAAATTGTTCACTTCAATCCATGACTGTTGTGGGACACTGCTGTGCGCAATTGGCTGCCGCGTTTCACCCACAAAATATACAGTCAATTCACTTTACAATATATTCTGTGAAACGCTTTGAGACGTCTAGAAGACATAAAAAGAGCTGTATCAAATGCAAGGATTATTATTATAGCCACTGAGCTACAGGACTCCAATGCAAGGATTATTATTGATAACTTTATAGCTCTGAAGCAAGAGTGCTACATACCACTGTCTGGTTGACAAGTAACTAAATGAATTGGAGGAAGGGAATGGAGAGTTCAATTCATAAATTCAGTATGAGGAGGGTTGATTTCAGTATTGTTTTTTAAAAAAAACTTCATATTGGTGGGTGTTGGTTCACAGCACAACATGCTTTTAAATCAGTATTAATTTGGTAGTCATAAGAAGGATCATAGGCTGTTGGCGTGCAAAAAAGAATACAGTATGTCAGCCTGGTGTTTTGAAACTAATTCTTCTGAGGTTGGGATTAAAGCATGTTTGTCCTGAGTAGAAAAAAACTTCCTTCCACATCTGATTGGTATACCTTATCCTTTTCCATTTCACAGATTGATCACAGATACATTTTAAGTTATGTATGTACAATATACTCTTCTGTTTCATTTCAGATTGCAATTCCTAACAATACTCAGTTGAGATGTGTTTCATGGAACAAAGACCAAGGCTTTATTGCCTGTGGTGGGGAAGATGGCCTTCTGAAAGTGCTGAAACTTGAAACACAGACAGGTAGGGAGAACGTTACAAACCTGTTGAGAGTTATCTGTAAATCTGTCTATATTTAAAACTCAAATATTGCTGAGTCATAAAATGCTACTGGGATACTGATCTAGCCATTGTGGATCTGTAGATGATACAAGATTAAAGGGACTGGCAGCACCTAGCAACCTTTCCATGAATCAGACACTGGAAGGACACAGTGGTGAGTTTTTCTTCAAATTCATATATCTGAGTTCCATGTGACTGCTGTAATTGTGAGTTTTCGATCACTAACTAAAATGCATGTCCATTGACTTGGTTTCTGCTGCTTTTATAATATGACATAAGGCAGCTCCCACAATTGATGTACTAGTTAAAGTCTTTATTTCAGACAAGCTGTACAACAACAACAACAACAACAACAAGATTCCATTTATAAAGCGCCTTTCACGTCAGGAGGACGTCCCAAGGCGCTGCACAGTTGGGTCATGACCCGAGCAGGGGGGAAATGGTCAGGGTGAGGGGAGGGAAGGGAGGGAGCGAGGAGGGGGAAGAGAGTCGAGAGGGGAGCTGAAGGCACGGTCAAAGAGAAAGGTTTTGAGACCAGCCTTGAAGGAGGAAAGGGAGGAAGCGGCGAAGGCACTGGGGGATGGAGTTCCAGAGCCTGGGGGCTGAGAGGCTGAAGGCCCGACCACCGATGGTAGGGCGGTTGGGGCGGGGGACGTGGAGCAGACCAGAGCCAGAGGAAGCTGTACCCATTGCAGCTTCGCTTGCAACCAAAGGATCCAATATGTAATGTAGATTGACACACAGAGAGACATTTTGTCTGTATCTATCCTCAGCTGGGAGGACTCCTTTTGGGAGGGCTCAATGGGAAGACTCCTTTAATAGATTTAATATTTCTCTCACAGTCTCCCAGTTTCTCTCTCTCTCTCTCAGTCTCCCTCTCTCGGTACCTCTCAGTCTGTCTCTCTTTCTCAGTCTCTCCCTCTTTCAGTCTGTGTGTGTTGTGCGTGTGTGTGTCTCTCTCTCTGTCGCTCAGTCTTCTCTCTTTCACTCCTCCTCAACAGAAAGTGTGTAAAAACAAACATTAAAATTAAGGAAATAAGTTTAAAACTGCCCCAGAGTCTTAAGTTTTACAGATAAAAATGCTTTACCAAATTCAAGGTGGTGTGTGATCATTCTGTGACGGCAGTAATCAGGAGAGATGACTCTTTGAGAATAATATTGCCATCTAGTGGCAATCTGGTCTTTAACACTGAACATTGTAAATTCTATTATCACCGGCCTCACATACTTCACTCCATAGATTGAAATATAGCATGGAAATCTAGATTAGTTTACTAAAGGCGTACTATGTGTCAATGAAATTATAGCATATAACAAAGCAGGAGTATTTTTATTTTTCTTTTGTTTTATCCAGATTTTTATGAAATAAACACAGTAGAACAAATATAAATTACACCCGGGGAATTATGCAGAACAAAAATAAAAATTACACAAGGAAAAATAAAAATTATGCAAGCAAAAAATGAAAATTGTATAAAATCACACTCTTTAAAGAAATGTAATACAGGGTAACCTTATTTTATGTATGGCATCTTTACTTCCCAATCCACCTCTCTCCCCCCATCGCTCTCCGCACTGCCTCTGCTGCCGCTCTGTTCTGGGTCTCTTCCCATCACAGCAGTACAGACAGGAAGAGAGCCAGAGTAGGATCTGGCTCCCTTCCTCTATGTAGGCAGTTTGGCTATATTATACAATATTAGGCATCTACATGTAGTAAAATGTCTTATCTGTGAAATCGTGTGGGTGTGTAATTCTCCAGGGGGGAAACAAATGGAGTACATAAATAAAGGTTCACTTATTTGTGCTACCCAAGTTGCCAGTAGAGTAGCTTGATATGAAAAAGATTTAACCCGGGCAAACTTTACTACACTATATTCAGCAATCCAGGAAAAGGTTAATTGAGTACAGTTGCTGATAGATTTTTTTTAGAAAAACTACCTTTAAACATACGCTGCTTTATCAGGTGCTGTGCAGGTGGTGACTTGGAATGAACAGTACCAGAAGTTGACAACCAGTGACCAGAATGGTCTGATCATTGTGTGGATGCTGTATAAAGGTCAGTTTACCCTCCAAGATGCATACATCGACACCAGTGCTGAATTTTTAATGAATTATACTTTGGAAAATGATGTAAAAGGTGCAATTGTCAAATAGACATGCAAAACATCTAAAGATGTTGACTTTAAGTGATAAGACGCAATATCAAATGCAATGATTATTATTATTTCAGTACTTCCTCAAATAAAAGTGCTAAAATACTTGGTGACAAACTAAGTGGTTAACAGTTTTCAATAGTAATATCATTGATTAAATCATCTTAATAATTGTGAACTGTTTGTTTCTAGGTTCTTGGTACGAGGAAATGATCAACAACAGAAATAAATCTGTTGTTCGCAGCATGAGCTGGAATGTGGACGGACAGCGAATCTGCATTGTATATGAAGATGGTGCTGTCATTGTGGGTTCAGTAGATGGTAATGTATTTTGTATAAAAATACAAACTTGGCGGAATTTTTGAAGAGGTCATTAAAGTAGTGGACATGGGAAGATCGATGGATGTTTACTTGGACATTAAGAATGCATTTGATAAGGTTCCACGAAACAGGCTGTTTATAAAAAAAAGGCACAATGGGATTCAATGCAACCTGTTGGCATGGCTGGTAAATTGGTTAGGAGACAGTGAACAGAGAGTGGGTTGAAGGGGATATTTTTTGACTGGCGAGCATTAGTGAGCAGTGTTCCTCTGGGATCTGTGTTGGAGCCCCAGGTTTTCACTATGTTAACAATCTAGAGTAGATGAAGGCACAGAATGGATTCTATCTGTTTAGGAAGTGTAATTTGTGAGGATGATAAAGAAAAATTACAGAGGGATATACACAGATTATGAGAATAGGTTGAACTATGGCAAATGGAGTTCAATGTGGCAAAGTGCGAAGGGGTTCATTTTGGCTTAGGTAAGTCGAACTGCACTACATTCTTGATGGAGAAACACTTGTCGGTGGTTAATGAGCAAAGATATCGCACAGGTACATTGGAGTCCTGTAGCTCAGTGGTTAGAGCACTCGCTTTGCGAGCGAGAGACCTGAGTTCAATTCCAGGCAGAGGGCGAAACCTTGGGCAAGTTTCCTTACTCCACACGCCTAATAATAATCCATCCAAAACCAAAAACAATAATAAATTGGTCATTTTCAATCCACGACTGTTTGTGGGACATTGCTGTGCGCAATTGGCTGCTGCGTTTGCCCACAAATATACAGTCAATTCACTTTACAGTGTGTTCTGTGAAGCGCTCTGGGACGTCCTCACGACATGAAAAGCGCTATATCAAAATGCAAGGATTATTATGATTATTATTATAAGGCAATCAAAAAGGCTAATGCAGTGTTGACATTTATCACAAGGTAGCTAGAATACAAAAATCAAGAAGTTATGTTTCACTTGTATAAAACGCTGATTTGACCTCATGTGGAATATTGTCTGCAGTTTTGGGCAACAAAAAGGAAGGATATGTTGACCTTAGACAGTGCAGTGTTGAGTTACTGGAACGATTCCTGGTGCCAAGGACCTAAATTATGATGAAAGGATGAAAAACCTTGAATTGTATTCTTTCGAGTTCAATAGGTTGAGGGATGATCTGATCCCTCAAGTGTACATAACATTTAAGGGATTTGACAGGCTGAATAGTGAGCAACTGTTTCCTCTGGTGAGAGAATTGAGGATGAGAGGCCATAGTCTTAAACTTAAGGCTAAACCATTTAAAAGTGGGTGGTGGGATGGGACTGGAGAATTCACTCCCCTAAAGGGCAGTGGAGGAAGAGTTGAAAAATTTATATGGCAAACAAATAAATACTTGATAGACGGGGTTATCAAGGGATATGAAGAGCGAGCGGGTGGGGAGATGGAATTGAGTTGCAGATTGGTCATGATTTTGGAAAACGGTGGAACAGGCTCGATGGGCCTTTTCTTACAGCCCTATATAAATGAAATTCATCTCTTACTATTCAGTTTTACTTAGTTTGGCAATAATATCCTTTCAAGATAACTTACTATCTATAGTATAAAACATTTTTTTCACAAATCTTGCCTTGGAATACAGGTCTCTATTTTATGTAGGTCACTGTGTAAGTTGGCTCCTTAGACCACAGTTCTCTGCTATTTTATATAGGTCACTGTATAAATTGATGCCAATTATTGCTACTGTTTTTCTACTTTTTTTAAAGTTTTAGCATTTTTTNAAAAAAATGTCATAAATCAAAATAACTTCCTGAGTACTTTCTTAAAGAAAATTATAAACCATTGATGGCAGGATCTCAACTGTGAAGGACAATGATAGAAATGTAGGAAAATAGTCCATCAAGCTTGTTCCACTTCTTTATTAGCTCTTAGCAGATCTATCTCAATGCCCTGTAATAATAATAATTAATCGTTTCCTATATCTCACAAGATCATAGGAATAGTTTGCATGAAGGAGGCCTTCCTTTTGATTTGATCTCCCATTTCATCCTATCCTTTCTGAATACCCACGCTCCCATCAGAGCATCAAGTTGTTTGGCCTGGCCTGTTGTTCTAGTGCTGTTGTTAATTATCCTCTGGGTAAAGACAAGCTTCCTGGTATCTGTCCTGAAATTGTACTTTGCAACTTTAAACTTATGTCTTTGTTCTATAGGCTTTGATATTGTATGTAATACCATTTCGATTTGTGTAAACTCAAATGCTACTTGCCATTATGTAAAATAGCAATTACTGTCACTAGCTTTAGGAACATAAGAGCCACTGCTCTTGATAAAACTAATGATTTTCTTATCATTATAGACGATTTGTCTAACTGAGACGTTTACTTACATTTTCTAGGATACATCATAATTTAGAAGCTTTTGCTTCCTGACTTTATACAGAGAGTGGTTAGATTGTGGAATTCTCTGCCACAAACTGTTACTCTGAATGGAAAAAAGGGAATTAGAAAGATATTTGAAAAAGAGGAGTATTAAAATATATGTGGTATGACCAGGAGAGTGGAACGAGATACAATTCTCCAGACCATCCAGCAACCTGTCAAAAGACCTATCTCTTTGTCAGCACCTTCAGTCACCTCTCTTCCAACTCAGAGTGGAGTGGAAAGTGGCCTTTGTGGAGAGAACTACTAGCCCAGACTTGATGACCAAATTGCCTGTTTTTGTGCAGCAATCTTTTATGATCTATAATGCCCTGTCTTGATATCTACTTCATAAGCAGCTAATCATCATTAAATGGAACCAAAGGCAGTCTCAATGAGGATCTGTAAAAGTTACGTTTGGTTTTGTCAGGTAACCGAATCTGGGGGAAGGAACTGAAAGGCCTCCAACTGAGTCAAGTGGCCTGGTCCCCAGACAGCAAGATTCTTATGTTTGGCATGGCTAATGGAGAAATACATATATATGACAATCAAGGAAATTTTATTGTGAGTTTGTTGCTTCTTCTTTCTTTGTATTTTTCTTCATTTTCTTTGGGGCCTTTTATTGTTTGGGATTGTTCTTATGGAGAGTTGATGCACCGTGTGTTCTTGCAGAGGAGAAACTAAATTTTCAGCTTTTATTTTTAAAGGCTGTTTTCTTTACTCCTAACCTTACCCGTTATCCTAGGAGCTTTCTTATGCACTGTTATATATCTGTATCACACCTAGCGGTACATTACCCGCTTAGCCATTGGGAAACTTTGTGTTAATTTTATCTTAAGATGCCACCAATTATGGGTGGAGCCTTAGGGAAAGAAAAACATTTTTGGAATTAATTTCCAGTTATTTATTGAATGCACGTTTATTATATTCACCTATTTTTGAAAACCATTAAAAATGAGCCAGATATTATAAGTTCTTATGAACAGTGTAATGAAGGACAACGTTATTATCCTGTTTATATCTGATTTCCATCTAAGCTTTATATTTATTCACTATGCTTTTTTTATCAGGTGAAGTTGGTGCTTCAATGTCTTGCTAATGTGACTGGTCCAGTCAGCATTGTTGGCATCCACTGGTATTCTGGAACAGAAGGCTACATTGAAGCAGACTGCCCTTGCCTAGCTATCTGCTTAGATAATGGTCGTTGTCAGATAATGCGACATGAGAATGATGAGAGTGAGTATTGTCATTGGAAAAATTAATTTAGGTTATGATTAGGATTGTGTTTTCTATTCTGTGTATATAAGTCTTCTATAAGGGGGTCCAAATCCCTGACTGTCCAAGGGCTTGGGACGTTGGCACAGCGTCCTCTCGATGTGAAAAGTGCCATACAAATCTAATTTTGTATTTGTATAAGAGTACTTGAAGTGAACTTATGTATGATAAACTTTTTGTTACAGGTCCTTATTTAAATAACGACAGAATTTTCATTACTTGTAAGAAATGTAGTCGGCCTCATGAGTGAAACAAAAATGTAATGCTTTGTATTTGTATGTGGCTTAGCGCCATCCTGTCAACTAATACTCTCACCTAGCAATCTGGCTAGATGGGAGGAGTAACAACATAAAGCAAATGAGTTTGACATAAGAAAAGTCGGGGAAGATAAAAAAGCAATTTGGTCCTGCAAAACTTAATTCTATATTTCTCCCAGATATGTTTCTTTTCCATGTGGTCTTTCTATAATTTTTTGATGCCATTAATAACATGAGGTCTAGACTCTATCCAGACAACATTCTTCCCTAGAGACAAGCCAATACAATAGACCTTTCAGACAAATGTAGTTTGTGTTTGAAGCCAAGAGGGGAGGCAAATCAACAGGAGAGAAAATGGAGGAAGGAACTTCTGCATTTTCTATTTCCACTTCATAACAGTACACTAGGAACAATGACAAAGAGACATTTCTATTTCTTCAGCCTTTATTATTAATAATAAACCTTGTTTTTATATAGTGCCTTATCACATAGTCGAGATGTCTCAAAGGTGCTTCACGGAATATACTGTATAGTTAATTGATTATATTTTGTGGGAGAAACATAGCAGCCAACTAACTGCACTCAGAAGTGTCACACAAACAGTTGTGGATTGAGGGACCAAATTACTACTATTGTTCATTTATTTTTGGGAGGGATTATTACCTCCAGAAAGCGATCCGCCAAACTACTCCCAACGGGGTTCCTTCTTACTGCTAGGTAAACATAAGTGTGTGGACTAAGGAAACTTGGCTAAGGTTTCGCCCTGGCCGGGAATCAAATCCTAGGTTCTCTTGCTTGCGAGCGAGTGCTCTAACCACTGAGCTACATTAAAGTGAGAAATGGGTAGTATCACCTTGACCTTTCTCTTTTTGGTTAACTGGACCTCCAGTTTGTTGAACTAATTTGTTTATGCCATTTGACAATTGCACAAGAATGTTTGATTCTCCACTAGAGGTGTAGTCTTCATCAGGTTTTCAAATGCAGTGCAATCTACACATACAAAGCCTTCTTCTTCCCCATTCTAAGTTTCTCTCTGACCTACTGTGATGGAACTATCAGTGCTTAAAGTGCAAGTATGGTGAATTACTGGTGTATGTTGTCATCTTATCTCAGTTGGTGGGACAAAGGGACATTTTGAAAAGAGAAGGCAATTTCTTCCAGGGTCCCTTTCTACAACTCACTAGATAAAAAAATGTTTGTTGACTTCATGGATATTTGAGGGACATAGCTATATACAAATTGACTGTTGGGCTTCCTACAAATACACAGTCACTGCACTTTTCAAGAAAACTCTGTGAAGCACTTTGAAATGTTCATTATGGTGATGCAGTATATCAGAATGCAAGGATTATTGTTGTGTTCTGAGGATCTCGTGGATAATTTCCCCGTTACAGAAAATGTACAGATGAATGGGATAGGGAAGTTTTGTTTTAAGAGATAGCAGCCCTAGATAATTTATTATTTGTACAGATAATTTATTATTAATTTAAATATTTACATTTGATATAGTGCATTTCAGGTAATGAGGTTGTCTCAAAGCTCTTCACAGGATATACTGTAAAATGCAGAGACTGTATTCTTTCTGCGAAATGCGGTAGTTAATATCTCATAGACAGCCATAAAGTGAATGACCAATTTTATTTGGGAAATAAAATGTTGTTGGCCAGACACCAGGAGAAACTCCCTTCTCTTTTCAAATAGTGCCATGGGATCTTTAATGATCACCTGAACAGGCACAGGCTGAACCGCGGTTTAACGTCTCATCCGAAAGATGGCAACTCCAAAAATGCAGCACATCCCTAGCTCTGTACTGGAGTGTCAGACTAAACTATATAAGTTCCAAGCCTTGACGTGGGACTTTAATCCACCACTTTCTGCCTAAGAGGTGAGCGAGGCACCAGCTGTGCTAGGTCACCAGCTGAGCCGGAATGACTTGTATTTGTACTGTAGCATGTAACCTTTTTCATCTTTTTGTAATAGATGCTGTTCTGATTGACACTGGTATGAACGTGGTTGGTATACAGTGGAACTACTGTGGAAGTGTATTGGCAGTCGCTGGTTCCCAGATGTCACCTTCTCAAGACAAGCAGGTCAATGTTGTGCAGTTCTACACTCCTTTTGGTGAGGTGAGACTGTTTCCTCTATCAGTCTTTCCATATAACAAATTTATAATAAGAATCTTTGCATTTTGATTTGGCGTCTTTCAAGTTGGGAGGACGTCTCAAAGCACTTCACAGGATATGCGGTAAAGTGTAGCTGCTGTGTGTTAAGTCAGCTGCTCACAGGAATATATCCAACACCCATATTTAGATGAAAAGTGAAACCTATCAATTTGGCATCAGAGAAAGATTGATCAACAAAAAGCAAATCAGAGCAACTATTCTAAGTGAATTAAAATCATAAGAGCAAATTAAATTCTGTGATCTCCAGCAACTGTTATCACCATAAAACCAAGTATGATGTATGAGACATTTATGTTTATGGCAACCATTTAAAAAAATACTTGCTTGTTTATATCTTAGGTAGTGGCTATCTGAGAATTGAACCTAGTTCTCAGTAACAAATGCCAGAGGATTTTAAGCTACTGATTCATTTAGGGCAAATCTTTTCTGTACTCAGTCTTTACGGTGCCAGTTCCCATCTTTGTATGTGAGTGTGTATTGGTAGTTATCTAATTTATTTTGGCTTATGGTCAGAGAGTTATCAAAGGGGGCAATCATTTATGCAAACAAATAGAACGATGGTTATTGTGAAAAGTGAAATAAAGAACCAAGTTTTGTCTGGCATCTCTCACTTCTTCTGTTGAAAGGAAGTATCACAGTAGTGTGGGTTAAAGCAGCAAGGTGGGATTATTCTACCAGCTCCGAGTCATTCTTTGCTGAAGCAAACCGAAGCTGTGTGTATCTAGCAAACAGCGCCCCACCATCTGGCATTTAAATGAAAGCTACATATCTAATATTCAACAGCTCCAGGATTAGAATTGGGGGATTTGTACTACTGATGTGTGCTATACTCCTTAGAGTACAGTGTATTTTTCTCTACAGAACCATACTAGAATACTCCAGCCACACTATAATCTTACAATGATTATCATTTCTATAAAGCCTCTAATTGTCAATCAAAAGTATATGACCCCAATGAGTTTAAAAGTGAAAGTCCAACATTGGTAAATAATCTTAACGATCCATTATAACAATAATAATCCTTTCATTTGATACAGCGTTTTATCATGTCTTCTTGATGTTTCAAAGCGCTTCACAGAATATACTGTAAAGTGAATTGACTATGTTTTGTGGACGAAATGCGGCAGCCAATTGCGACAGCAGCGTCACCAAACAGTTGTGAATTGAATGACCAAATTATTATTTTTTTTGAAGGGATTAATATCCTCAAAAAAGCGATCCGCCAATCAACTAACAACCACGTTCCTACTTACTGCCAGGTAAACGGAGGCGTGTGGAGTAAGGAAATTTTCCCAACGTTTCGCCCTTCCGGGAATCAAACCCAGGTCCTCTCGCTTGCGAGGCGAGCGCTCTAACCACTGAGCTATAGGACTCCACATTATTACAGTGGAATCTCATTTTAGTGCCCCTCAGTATAGTGTTGTCTTACAATACGTAGGTTTAGAGTGGACCTGTGTTAATCTGAAACTGCATCCGATGTTGATTACCTGCCTTCCCATCCTAAATAAAGTAGCTGATATCTGACCCATCTCTGCCTCAATCCATCAGCCTTTCCTCCTCCTTGCCCATTTTCAGATCGCACCTGAAGACCTTCCTTTTTGACTGAACCTAAGAACATCTCCCTCTCTCCCCGGCTTGGTGTCCAGTACTGTTAAGCGCTCTGAAACTCTACCTGTGTTAAGGGTGCTATTGTTGTCGCCATCAAGTGAATGCTAATTGTCACTTCCTACCTACTGCAGTGCGCAGGAAACACAACTAAGTCATTTTATGAGGCTTCTCTGTATATGTTGCATTTGTATGTTATTTTTTCTCACTTTGTTTTTTTTGTAGCATTTACGCACATTAAAGGTTCCCGGCAAGCAAATGTATGCAGCGTCATGGGAAGGAGGAGGACTGAGAATTGCCCTTGCTGTTGATTCTTTTATTTATTTTGCAAATATTAGACCAGATTATAAGGTAAATCAATTCTATTCACATCCTAAAATTCACATCCTAAAATTACTGATATTATAAAATCACGAAAACTTTACAGCAGAGAAGAAGGCTATTTATTCTATTGTGATAATACTATCCCACTCAGTAGAACTAAGTTCTGAAATCCCATTCTCCTGTTCTTTCCCCAGTCAGCTTTGCCTTAAATATTTATCCAATTTCCTTTCGAATGCTGTCCTTGACTCAGCTTGAACAGCCATTTGTAATGAAGCATTAAATATTCTTTCTGTGAAAACATTTCTTCTGACCTCCCCTATTTTTCTTATGGATAATGCCCCAATGCCTTCTTGTTACTGACTAAGATTATCAGAGGAAATTGTAACTTAGATTTACAATACTAAATGAATGTTTTTCCCCTCAATGCTGCTTTTATGNTTTTTTACAAATGTTTGTGTTCAGTTGGTGTTTGCTGGAATAGTGATTATTTAGTTAGTTTGTTTTACAGTATGACTGATTACTTTTGGCTCTGGTCCACTAGCACAATGTGTTCACTTGCCTGACTACTATAGACTCTTTGCAAAACACAACTCCTTCTGAAATACTTAAACATGGATAGTTGTGTGTTTCAGCCTGCTCTGACAAAAATCTCTTCTTTGGATTATCTGAGTAAAACTCAGTCGAACTTTCTTTTAAAATTACAATCAAACCTGTTTTCAGCAACCACTGGACTTGACCAAAGTGGCCTTTTTGTTAGTGTGACCTCTGAGAAAGAATTCATTGGTTCGTTGACCAAGCCTGAATTTTTTTTATTTCCGTGTCACCTCCTGTTAGACTCCTAGCGCATTAACCAATGGCACCTTGCCGGTGAGGTGGGAATGCACTTGTAGTCTAATGAGATACTACATGCGGAACAGAGGAAATTGGTAATGCATTACTGGTAAGTATACTTAAATTCACTGAGAATTGGGCATCTAAAAGTGTGTCTGTACACCAACAAGGCTAAAAAAGAGTAGTCACTGTTAGACAGGTGGTTGCGAAATTTAGAGCTTGTTTATTTTGGAAAATCAGTCGGGACTGTTCCAGTGTGGTTGTTGACAGTAGGTGATTGCTGAATAGAGGTGGTTGTGTAACAGGTTTGACTATTATATACTGGTATGAGGTAACAACTGGGTAATAAATTCTCAACTCTTTCAGTACTTACTGAAATATCGAGGTAGTTTTGTATGGTTTAATTGTTAGTTATTCCTGTTTCTGCCCATTTGTCACCACATATAGCTTTCAGAAGGAACTGGAACTTATTTTATTCGAGGTATCACTGTTCCTTTTGAAGGTAGAGTGCAGGCAGCATTTGTAAAGTAGTCTTCTACCGCTTTAACAACAATAATATTAACTACATCTCTCCATAAAGTACAGGATAAACTAACCCTTTGCAACTGGTATTCACACAGTCTTGAGATTGATTTATGCTTGTTAATAACAATGTGATAGCTGTATAATTACAGTAAATAATCGTTAACTTCATTCCAAGCACTTATATGGAATCAAAAGCACCGAAACAAGCCATTCGGCCCCAACTATCAGTGCTAGTTTTTATACTCCATCGAGGCCTTCATCCATCCTAAACTAGCCCTCCACCACCATACCTCTCTTCTTCCCTACTCTTGGCAGAGTTCCACATTTTCACCGCCCCCTTAAACTCTCTTTTAGATCTGTTACTTCACACTTTTGTTAATGGACATTCAACCATTGCACACATATCACTTAAACATTTCCTGTTTTAATGTTCATTATTTATTCACATTAACATCCACCTCCTGTTACTTAGGTAAACTTCTAAATTTTTCCCCATTACCGTAAATGTTATCAACCTTGGAAGTAATCAGCTAATCCCAGAGACATTTGCTAAAGTATTAGTAATATTATGAAATATTACCTTATATATCATTTGTGAATGATGTAACCATGAAGATTATAGGACTCTATGAATGCTTGATTAAGCCCTAAGGCAATTTGTATATTTATCATACCTTAGGGGTGAAATTTTGTCTACTTGTATATTTTTTAAAAAAGAATATGAGATGGTTAGAGTAAGAGATATGATTTTGTAACCTTTTGGCTGCATTTTAAATAATTCTAATTAATTGCTTACTCAAAATGAATTGTTGTCCTTTCATTTGCAAGAAGTGGTTCGCAGTCCCCATATAAAATTGTTCATCATGTCTCATTGATCTGCACGGGTTTTAGTTAGTAAAATTTTAGGAATTTTGTTGCTGTTTAAACACCGTAAATCAATAACAAACATTTAAAAAGATTCAGTCCATAAAATCTGTTATTTACTGTGTGTAGACAGAAGGTTCCTTCCCTCAAAGGTGCAAAATTTATTGTGGAACAAATCCCAGTACAGCTTACGGACAAAACTGTCAGTCAAATTGAGTTGTGGGAGAAGTGTTCAGCTCGGCCAGGATCATTCGCTTCTTCTCTGAAGGCTAGAATTCAGAGACTCATCATGTGGTTGATGTTGGCGGTGCTTCAGCTAACATTAGAACAGTTATAGTTTAGTAGTTGTGGAGGGGGGAGGGGTATCTATAAAATCCTGACTCATTATTGTGGGGCATGATCGCTGGTCAGCTCTTCTGCCTCATGATGCCACTGATCATGAAGGCACGTCAGCAAAGACCTGATGACTGGAAGTTGACGTGCAGTAAGTTGGCTGCAGATTGTAAGAAAATAAAATCAGCCAAATCTGTAAGGAAATAACACTAATTCCTTTAACCAGATATCAGACTGTTTTATTATTATTCGTTCATTATTCCCCAATATCCCGATGGGTCAGACCAAAGGCCGGCACAATCAACAGATCTTATAACAGAATAATACCACCGTAGATGTCTCGAGTTCAAGAGTTCAAAACTTGTGTCTTTCCAGCACACAAGCTTGATTCTTCATGCTTTCAGTCTTCTTGCTTACAGCTTTCAATCTTCCATCTGATATCCTCAGTCTTAGTGTTTCCAGCTCTCAGTCTTCCATCTCTGTACCCTTGTCTCCGCAGCCCGGGATGGCCCCATCTCCCGTATCCTTGTCTCCGCGACCCGGGACGGCCCTGTACACAAAGTTATCGGAACACTTATACCAATGTTTGTCTAATCATGGTGCAGACATTAGATCACCTGGGCGAAATCATGTTGGGTGTACGTGAACATGGAGTGTACGTGCCTCAGCACACATACACATTGTCCTTAAGACCCCTGTTATCTGATGCTTGTTATTTTGTAAGGTGGGATCATTAGTACATTCCTTTTAAGTGACTGGTTATTTCTTATCAGTATCCCGGGATGGTACCAAGGTCCTCTAGTTTAAGCAACTTGCTCGTTAGCTGCTATTCTTGAGGTTTGCCTTTTGTTGCTCTTGAGTGTTAATCAAAAGTGTAAATTCTAACAAGATCCACAGTGAACCCAGATTAGAATGAAGAGTTCTACTATAATTTGGTAATTAGTCAAGATATTAACTATTTACACCAATTGAGTAGGCAAAGATTTAGTTTATCGCTTATCCTACCATTTATACTCCTTCAAGCAGATTCCATGGTTTACTGCAGAACCATAGAACTTTACCATTTGGCCCATTGTTTTCTGTTTTAGCTCTATGAGAGAGCAAATCATTTACAGCCATTTACCTGGCTTTTCCCCACATCCCTGCAAATTAATTCATTTTAGATATCTAGTTCCCTCGAGAAATCTATTATTTTTCTTATGAAGCCACCACTCTTGGGAGAGTACTCCACATTTTAACAACAACTTGCATTTATATAGCGCTCCTCATGCAGGATAGCATCCCAGAGAACTTGAACGACCCTCTGTGTAAAAAAAAAAAAAAGAATCCTTTGTACTCTATGTACTACTACACATATCTATGCATTTTGCAATTTGGATCAGTATTGCAGCTGTAAACCATGACAACCGAAAGCTGTTTAATGTCATTTGACACAAGGGGACATATTAAGCACATTTGCCTGCAGATGGGAGGCTAGTTGTATATAATGCAGTGGTGTCCAATCTGTGGCCCTCAACAATTACTATTTTTGTTCTTTTGACAGTGGGGTTATTGCTCCAACACAGTCGTATATGCATACACCAGACCTGATCGGTTGGAGTACTGTGTTGTCTTTTGGGACACTAAGAACAATGAAAAGTATGTAAAGTATGTCAAGAGTCTCATATCAATCACCACATGTGGAGATTTTTGCATTTTAGCAACTAAGGCTGATGAAAGTCCTTCCCAGGTAAGCTGTCGTTTCTATTGCAATATTTACTTCATTCCATAAGAAAGTATTCTCTTTTATAATTTTAGAGTAGCCAACACCCCACTCCCCCCCCCAATTAAAGTACCACCTTCTTAATATGTTTGTTGGACATTGAGTGGATCTCTGTTGGAACATGATAGTTGAGGATCCATAAAATCCTAACTTTAGTGGGTTATAATCATGGTCATCAATCCTGCATTCACTGCGCATGCATACGGAAAGACAGATTTATTTAAAAACGCTGGTCGACCCACGCCACTGAAATCACTTCCTGCGTGCTGTACATGCATAATAAGCGGGGTGCTAGAGTAAAGGTAATTTAATGTCCTGGAAGTCATTTGGGTTTTCGACTGCACCAATGGAGCCGTTGCCCACATTTTGGGTTTATTTGGTAAGTAAATAATAACCTGCACATTATGACAAAGTTTTACTGCATTGGACTTCAGCTTGTCTTTATCCTTGTCTTCACCTAGGAAGAGCGGAAGTTGATAATTTCTATAGGTAAACAGGTCCACTGATAAGACAGTTCCAAGTACAAATATCTCCACTGGGTGTCTCTTGTATGGAGCTTCTGCATTTGGGGATAAACTACCAAGTGTCTGAGGGAGTCGACAAGAAGGCTTATTTTATTCACGATTATCAGGTAAAAATCCCCAAGAGCAGAAGCTCCATACAAGAGACACCCAGTGGAGATATTTGTACTTGGAACTGTCTATTGGTGGACCTGTTTACCTGTAGATATCATCAACTTCCATTCTTTCTCGGTGAAGACAAGGGATAAATCAGTATACATTCTCTCCTCAAGGAGCAGATATTCATTTTACCATTCCTTACCTTCCTTTAAATCCCCAAGGTGCTTCAAAATATTCAAGTAGAAGACAGTCATGTTAGTGGAAGTCCTTCAAATTATGGTTTTCAAAAGCTCTAGAAATTCAGCTCCATTCACCTCAGATTTCTGCATGATGCTCTGTAGTATCAGCTCCAACTGTATTGAGCCAATTCCATTTTTTATTTTGCTGTCTCAATCTTTAGAGCATGTAAATTGGTTGTACTGTGTAGATTTTTAGTAATCCACTAGTGTAGACCATATTGAAGTATTATTTTAATTGACTAAATATTTGTCTTTAATTCATCTTCATAAATTCTTGATAGCATACAACTAAGGAAATTATTCCCAATGCTTTCATTTTGTGATTTGATGCTTGCCACTGGGTTAAATTGTCCTTTTTATTCCTACGCTGCATTCAAAGGAAGATAGTGAGATGGACACTGTGATTGCTATGGTAACCAATTTCAAACTTAATTTGTGTTAAATGTGTTTGCACCGACAGTGTGAATTCCTTTAATAATTATTTTACAGCATGTGAATTGGAATATATCCAGTGAATTTGATTAGATATGTACATAGTGGAGTTCGTTTAGAACTATTTTCATTTCATGTTTTAATTTTCTCCCTATTTTAGTATGTTCTCGTTTTGTGTAATTCGATTGGAACACCTTTGGATTCAAAATATATTGACATTGGTGAGTAAGAAATTTGGATTTTAGTTAATTTTTATTAAATTATTTAAGGAGATATTAAAAGATGGTAATCTGCATTAAGAGTAATAAAATGGGTAATAATTTGAAGTTTGTTTTCAGTTAATGATATTAAACTGCTGACTGATCTGCAGAGTCTCCTATCTCTGGATTCATCAATAAAAATGTGCCAGAACAGGAGCGCACCCATTTGGGAAAATAATTAACTTTTGTGAAATCCAGAAAAATACTTCTGCAGCAGGACAAGAGGTCCCAAGTTCAGAGTAGTGAAGGATGAGTTGAGGATTGACACTAGGAAGTATTGCTTACACCAGTAACAATGTTGCACTTTTCTTTAAAATGTTTCAGGCTATTTTGATTGGGAAGTAACAAAATGCTTGAAATAATGTTGTGAGCTCTTCATTTACCAAATATCGAGATTTGGGGATTTTGAGTGTTCATAATTTTTAGATTAGCAGCAAGAAACCAACAAAAGGTATAATAATAATAACCTTGCATTTGATATAGCGCCTTATGTCTTTGAGACAAGGCCCTTCAAATATTTTTAATGTAATCAATGTATAATCTTTGCAATAATGTAGCCTCATATATTCTGTTTCATACATATGCATTCTGTTTCATATTCTGGTTGTTTTATATTCATAGCTGAATATTTTCTACCATGATGCTCATTACTGCTACAGGCAATTTTTTGATAACTATTTAAGATTGTTTGCAGCCTTGAGCACTGAATGAGTTCCGTAGTTTTACTGTCCTTTGTACCCTTCATCATTGCACTACAGATGCAGGCACTTTTTCTCTTTTTCTGGCTCACTGACATCCTGCAAAATTCCTTTCCTGTGTGGGATGGCTTCTGGGCACACAAGTACTGTATGTACCAGGAGGTAGAGAAAAATTGATGAGTTCAGTTAACATAATACTGGTGTAAGATTTTGGAATTTTCAGCCTTTGTGTTTTGGAAACTGACCAATTTTCTCATTCAGGCATAGATGATGTTCAGTGAGGAGAAAAGTATTCAACAATAATTTCCAACTTGGCTACTGATCTATAATGATGATAGGATGTACAGAATGTCCTATTTCCTCCAGACTATAAGTCATACATTGGCAGTTTTTACACACAGTATAAAAATCTAATCCTAATAAATACTTTGATTTTTATTTCAGATTAATCTTTTCTAGATAAAATAGATATCTATTTCAAAAAAGGTTTCGACAGAAGAATATTATCATTCTGTAATCCAGTTCTTTAGTAATTTATTATTTTCAACCTTACAATCAACTTAGGTAAACTCTCAAAAATAAAATATTGATCTTAGTACTAGATAAAGAAGTTTAAGAATATTCCCATAATCTATAAATATCTAATATATATTACCCAAATCAGCTTTCATCTCTAAGTAAACAAATAAATATTTTTCAATATATGTTTTATTAAATACAGGCCAACCACTGCAAAAATTTTTGAAATGCAAAGGATTTCCTTCAATATTGAAAATTATAATATTCCCAATAAATCAAATCAGATATATATTAGGATACTCTTCAAATCGTATGCATTACGTAAACATATTTTTAAGTATGTTTTAAACTCTAAATTAGATGGAAATGTTCAAATTCCAGAAATTCATTCAATTATTAAGTTATTTTTTAGTTATGCAAATATTGTCTCTTAAATAGCCAAAATATAATTCCTAGGAATTGTAAATTTTGTGACTGACAAGGTTCTTTTGTAATTTGCCATTTGCCTCTGCAAACTGCATTAAAACAGTGAAGTACCCTTTTTGTTTCAGATCCGTTGTTTGTAACTGTGACAAAAACCCATGTGATTGTGGCCTCTAAAGAAGCATTCTATATATGGCAATATCGTGTGGCAAAGAAACTTACAGCCATGGAAATCAACCAGGTGGCACGGACCAGAAAGGAGGGACGTGAGAGGTCAGTGTTACTAGTTGCTACAGATGCAACTAATTGTTCAGCTATTCTTCGATCGTGCCTTTGGTCGCCCTCCCACCTCTCACCTTCCCTCACCCCTACACCACCCCGCCCCCATGCTTGGGCCCCGACACTTGACTGTTCAGCGCTTTGGGATGTGCTCCCGATGCAAAAGGCGCTCTATAAATGTAATTTTGTTTGTTGTTTGTTTCTTTGTTTGTATGGCCTTACCCTGGTCAACCAGAAGCAATAGGATTATAATGGGGTGGAAAGAGCTTTCATAGTTGGACTTATCTTGTTGCTAACTCTAGTTGTGATCTGAGTATGTTGAAAACCATAACAGATGTTACTGATATTCTAACTACCTGCCTGGATCAGCTCCACTTTCTTCAGCTAAAAATGGGCAAGGCAGAAACTCTTGGCTCCCGCCAATGCCCACTTTGCTTCTGATTGTGACTGCCTTAACCTCCTCGGCCTCTTTCTTTCTCCATCTCGCTGAACCAATGTATTAATTTGGCATTTGATTCAACCTTCAATTCTCTTTCATCCCTCACATCTAGTCCTTAAGCAAGAGTGCTTTTCTGCATCTTCTCCAATCTCTATCTCACATCCAACGCAACTAATTCACACCTTCATCAATACTTGATTTGACTTTTCAAATATCCCTATTGCCAGCTTACTTTTCTATACCCTCCAAAGCTCTGCTGCCAACATCCTTAACCTTATAAAACTTCCCATGCCTGTGACTTTCTTCCTTGTCAGACTTCACTGTCTCCCAGCAGATCAACTTCAAGATCCTCACCCTCACTAAAAAAGTAATTTCACGCACCCATTCATACAAAACCCTTCATGCCCACTTACGTCCTTACATTAGTAATCTTCTTGAACCTCATTCTTCTGCTGTAGCCAGCTTCATTACACATGCATAAGGCTGTCCAGTTTGCTCTCTGATGGCACCTGGTTTCTGTGCCAAAAGAAAAATGGCCAACTTCAGGTTATCAGGTCACTGTCAACACCACTTACATGGATAAAACAGGAAATGATAAAGCAGCAATCTGATGACCTGAATGTCTTCTATTTTAGCGCTTACAAAATAGATGATATTTTTAATACAATGCAATTAACATTTACATTCTTCATTTCAAGTTGGGAGGATGTCTTAAAGCGCTTCATGGTAGATTATATTGAGTCTGCACTGTATTGCTTTAAAAATAAATTATTTGAGTAATGTAACATACGCATATCTTATTGAAAAATTCAAACTTTGAACCCATTTTAATTTTAAATATGTTATGCTGGTAATTGATGATTAGAAGATGACCTTTTTGTTATATAAATCAGGATTGCTATCTGGATATTTCTTTTAGCATTTCTGAATCTGATGTTTCACTAAAAATACCATTTGTGCGTTCTTAGTGTGAGGGTATTTTATTTAACCGATCATTTTCCCTCCTTCCAATAGAATTTATCACATTGATGAAACACCATCTAGTTCAGGAGATAGTTCACTGGATTTCAGCAAGGCTTTCTCAGTAAGTTTTTCTTTCCATCTGTAACTCTTAAATATTAAGAGCTTATTCCAAATATATTTGCTGAAACAAAAGTGCACTTTATTTATTGTGTTTTTCTCTCCAAAACAGATACAGTTTAATGTAGTAAACTGTGAAGTAGTGCACTTTGTATATTTCTGATTGTTAAACCTAGGGTCAAAACAGTAGGGAGACGATACTATCACAGGTAGGGAAGTCAGTGACTACAGGAAATCGATATTAGTTAGTCACAAGAAGAGTGAAAAGAGATCCTAGGACAATGTGTTTTCATAGAGAGTTGTTGCGATGCAGAATGCCCTGCCAAGTAAGATGGTAGAAGCTTGACCTATGGTGGATTTCAAGAGGTATATGAAAGAAAGACTTGAAGGAGTATGGGAAAAGGGCAGGGCAGTAGGATTTAATGAATATCTTGCTCTGACACCCAGCGCAGACCTGAAGGGCCAAGTGACTTCCTTCTGCTCTGTACATTTCTATGGTTTTAGGGGAACCCTAAAAACAATAGACAAAATTAGAGCTAAATCAGTTAAAAGTCAATCCAGAAAATATTTTTTCACAACTATGAAAATGTGGATTTTACTACCCCAGCGGATCATAAATTGAGGTGTTTAAAAGTAAGGGAGATAGAGGTACTTGCAAACTCAAGATGTGTAAGAGAGATGGAGAAAACATGGGGAAATGGGATTAAAAATTTAAAATCTTACAATAAATGTGGAAAAGGCTTAAAGACATATAGAACCTGTATGAAATGCAACTTGTGAAAATGATTAGTAACTATAGTTGTCACTGGTTAGCTATTAATAGCAATATATTTTGAACAAAGTTTTCTTTCAATGGGATTTAAACAGTATTTTTCAAAAGGATTTTTATCTCTGGAGCATTCTGTGTCAATAAATTCAATCCTGCAACTCTTACACAATGTTTATGATATAAAAGGCAGAAGTGGGGTACCCAATAGCTCCTGCAGATCGGTCATATATGACCCTAGATATTAAATTGGGACATTATGACAGAGATTACTAAGTGAGTTACTTATGCCTTAAATTTTCCACTCTGTGGTTTTAAGATTTATCGCTTGCACAAACAACACCCACTAGGTTTGGAAGACAAAATAATCAGGAAAATGTTAACATGAAGAGAAGGCTTGCTAATATACACCCATCTTGACTACTACACTGGTAACTAGATATGTTAGGTGAGATATTGCAGTTTGATGACCTTTTTTTTAAATCAAAACATATTTTCAATTTGGAGATCCATTCCAATCCTGTTGAGACCTGACATTTTGAACTTGCAGCTACTCTGATGATCTGTGTTAAAAGAGCTTTTTGTATGCCCTGGAACCTTACTCAGCCAGTAACTAGATTTTTCTGGATCATTTGTTTCTGAATTGGTTTTCAGACCACTCTAAAGCACAGACTTCTGTGAAAAGAAGTGGCATGACTCCAGGATGCACGTGGGTTACTCAAATGACCTATATCATTGGACTGGCTCTGGGTATGAGCAGAGTTTTAACATAGTAAGTCGGCTTTGGAAGATAACTAAATTGTTAAATTCAGAAAGATCTTTTATAAGAAAGGAGTGACAGCTTTTATATTATAACTGTAGTATTAGTAATAACTGTAGAGAAACATTGCACAGACTTAGACAATGGCCAATAATGAGAACTCCTACAATCTCCACCAAACAGAAACTTCCATACAAATATTCAGGATGTGTATGAATTGAAAGAGGGATGAAAATATTTGGTGTGAAATTCCTCATGTCTCCAATAGCAGAAATATCTTCCTGGTTGGCAAGCTTGTGGGCTCCTCCCCCACCCCCCCTCCCCTCCACCGTGCACCATCATCCGTCAGTATTTTGTACCTTTGTCTGTTTACAAGGAATAGAGTAAGTAAACCAGAAACACTACTTTTAAAATGTGTGAAGGTAGCAGAACAAGATGTCACAGAAGCACATTAATTTTCAGATGGAGGACGTACCAGGGTTATTGGAAAGGTTAGTTAATGCCTAGGATCTAAGTCATTAAGCCCATTTAAGAAACATTTTATGTTGGAATGCAAGATGTTAGAGTTGGCAAGATGAGATCTAGTGGACCAAAGGCCTTATTCATCCGAATTGGAGATCATGACTAATTCAGGAGTTGTTTGTTAAAGCTAGGGTTTTGGCATTCATGAGGAGGATTTGTTTCACTTAGCCCAACCATGGACAGTGAGGAATGGAAGTCTTTAATTTTTGACATTTGCATTGGATTCATGACTGATACNAAAAAATCGGTTCAGCAATGTTCCTAATAGAGTGAATATTAAGAGACAAATGGGAAAGAAATACTGTATTACTGCAGATTTGTTAAGCAGATTTTTACCATCAATCTTCACAAATAGACTTGTGGTTAGATTCCATATCCAGTTGATTTGGCTTGGGAATCCATAATACTAGTGAACCAGTAAAAATGTGTTATGAGGAAACTGAAAGTATTTTAGATTATTTGGGATTGGAAGGAGAAAAAAGTAAACTTCTAGCTAATTAAAAAATTAAATTACCTATAAAGGAACGTAAAAAAATTAAATTACCTATAAAGGAACGTAATTAGTATATTGTCTGGTGGAGTCCTGTAGCTCAGTGGTTAGAGCACTCACCTCACAAGTGAGAGACCTGGGTTTGATTCCCAGCCGGGTGAAACCTTGGGCAAATTTCCTCACACCACATGCCTCTGTTTGCAAGAACAACAAAATTACATTTGTATAGAGCTATTTATGTCGTGAGGATGTCCCAAGGCGCTGGACATTCAGTGTTTCGGACCTGAGCTGGGAGTCGGGATCGGGGAAGGTAGAGGGCAGGGGGGGGAAGGAGGGTGATCGAAGGCATGGTTGATAAGGAGGGTCTTGAGACGGGTATTGAAAGAGGCAAGGGAGGGGGCAGAGTGACTGCGGGATGGAATTCCAGATGTTGGGGAATAGCTGAAGGCCCGCCCGCCAATGGTGGGGAGAGTGAGGCGGGGGAAGTGAAGCAGGCCAGAGCCCACTGAGCGCAGGGAGTGAGTAGGATGGTAGGGGTTAGGAGGTCGCAGAGGTAGGTGGAAGCAAGGCCATAGAGGGCGTTGAAGGTGAGGACCAGGATCTTGAACTGTATCAACAACAACAAGATTCCATTTATAGAGCGCCTTTCACGTCGGGAGGACGTACCAAGGCGCTGTATCCTCTCTCTGTGTGATGGGAAGCCTGTGGAGTCGGGCGAGGATAAATAATAATCCTTGCATTTGATATAGCGCTTTTCACATCTTCTAGACGTTTCAAAGCGCTTCAAAGAATAGACTGTAAAGTGAATTGACTGTATATGTGTGAGCGAAACACGGCAGCCAACAACAACAAAATTACATTTGTATAGCGCCGTTCACATCGGGAGGATGTCCGAATTACGCACTGCAGTGTCCCACAAACAGTCGTGGATTGATTGACCAAATTATTTTATTTGTTTTTTCTTGAGAGATTATTATCAGGTGTGTGGAGTAAGGAAACTTGGCCAAGGATTTGCACTGCTGGGAATTGAACCCAGTCTCTCGCTTGCAAGGCAAGCGCTCTAACCACTGAGCTACAGGACGCCTTAGCTGGATTAGGGGAGGATGGGGGTGATAGGGTCATGGAGCCTGGTGCGGGAGAGGACATGGGCTGTAGAGTTCTGGATGAACTGCAACCTATGGAGAGAGGAGTTGGGGAGGCTGACAGGCAGGGAGTTTACAGAGTCGAGCCTAGATGTTATGAATGCATGTATGAGGTTCTCAGCGCCTTGCCAGACGATGTTGTGCTAGGGGAAGGCAGAGCGGGTCATGGCAAGGATAAAAGTAGAAAGTACTTAGCAGTAAGTAGGAACCCAGTTGTTAATTGATTGACGGATCGCTTTTCCGGGAATAATAATTCCTTAAAAAAAAATAGAATGAATTTGGTCACCCAATCCACGACTGTTTGTGGAACACAGTCAATTCATTTTACAGTATATTGTATGAACTACTTTGAGACGTCTCGAAGATGTGATAAGGCGCTATTTCAAATGCAAGGATTATTATTATATAGTGTTATAACTAAAATTACTGCAGAACTCTGCAGTTCATGTACTGTCCCGCACCAGGCTTCGCGACCACATCACTCCCACCCTCGCTCGCCTCCACTGGCTCCCCATCCCCCACAGGATAGAATTCAAGATCCTCATTCTCACTTCAAGGCCATTCACGGCCTTGCTCCCTCCTACCTCTCCAACCTACTATCCCCCTACTTACTTGCCTGTACCCTCCGTTCCTCTGGCTCCGGTCTGCTCCACATCCCCCGCCCTAACCTCCCTACCATCGGTGGCCGTGCTTTCAGTCTCTCAGCCCCTAGGCTCTGGAACTCCATCCCCCAGTGCCTTCGCCGCCTCCTCCCTTTCCTCCTTCAAGGCCGGTCTCAAAACTTTTCTCTTCAACCGTGCCTCTCGACTCTCTACCCCCTTCTCGCTCCCTCCCTTCCCTCCCCCTGACCATTTCCCTCCTGCTCAGATCCCGACCCAACTGTCCAGCGCCTTGGGACGTCCTCCCGACGTGAAAGGCGCTCTATAAATGCAATCCTGTTGTTGTTGTTCAAGGACAATCTCTTCCCTGAAAAAGTTATGAAAACGTTAAGGTTAATTTTCAGAGATAACTCTTGGCATGGTACCATTTTTATTGTTCATTGTTGTATCTTAGGCAACAAAGGATCCTATCTGCTGCATCACTGCATCTGATAAAGTACTAATAGTGGTAAGTATCAATGTTTACTTAGCTTAAAGTATTTCCTTCATGTAAAAATACTTAAATACACTCAATAATATGTTTAACATAGTCACAAACTCTACAATAAATGTGAAATTCATCTCAGAAGGAATGTGAGCAGATGGTTCCATCCAAATTTATGCAGAGTGGTGAATACTACGTGTAGAATAGCCTGCATAGGGAGATTTTGTTAGCAAATTCCAGAGGGAATTTGATAGATGTTTGGCAAAGAAATTGATTGAAAGGTAGAAGGGAAAGTAGTGTATGGTTCTTGTTTAGTTTTGGGAGCATCCAGATAGATCGCAATGCTTTTTTCCAGTCTTGCACATTCTTCAGCCCCTATGTACTTTATGAGTAGAATATTTTATAAGTTCTGACATTTACTATAAATGTACATGTCACTGTATGGATTGACTGTTCTTAGCTAGACTGTTCAAACCTTCCATGCTTTATGATAAACACAGTTCCTTTGGGAGAGAGAAAATGTGTTGAACTTGTGTTAAACAAGCCTTTAGCTGAACACTTATAAGACAGAGGCTCTCCTGCATGGATTCCATCAGCACCATCTGACCTCTGGCGCTGACAGTATCAACCTGCGTGGACGCACACTCAACGTCACTGAGACAGTGCTTGGAACCTCAGTGCCTTGCTTGACTCTGAACTATCCTTTAAACTCCACATCCTGCTGAGCTTTCCCCCACCTCCAAAACATTGTCTGTCTCTGCTACTACCTTTCCCTTCAGACACACTGAGACCCTATTCCATGCAATTATTGCTTCTAGGCTTGACCAGGCCAAGTCTCTGTCACTAGAATTCCTAACTCTTCCGTAAATAAGCTGTAGACCATCCAGTCTGTGTCCTTTCCTGCACCAAGCTGTGCAGCCCTATTGTCACCTGGCTCCACTGGCTCCCCATCCCCAGGTAGATCAAGTTCAAGGTCCTTTTACCTCTAACTGCCTCCAGTGTTGTTCCACCTACTTCTTCGACCTCAGCAAACATTACTGACCCGTCCTCTACATTCGTTTAGCGAGCTGTGAATTGCTTGATGCTCCTCCACCCAAACCTCCCTTTTTGCTCTCACACTATGGAACTCCATCCTCCGACTCCCTCCTTCGCCTCGTTCAAGGTCCATCTCAAGAGCTATCCCTTTGACCATGCTTTCGGTCATCTTTCCCCTCCCCATCAACTTGGCTTCCATTGTTCACTATGTTAGAGTTTAAGAAAGGCAAATGAAAACAAATAGTGTATTAGTTTTGCTAGTTATAAAATTTGACTCCTAGGAATTTAATGAAATAACATAGGACTGATTTATGTATAGAAATTAATTACACATATTTGAATTCTCCAGGGTCGTGAATCTGGAAAGATTCAGAAATATAGTTTACCCAATGTTTGTTTGGTCCAGAAGTATGTCTTGAACTGCAGAGGTTATCAACTGTTGCTTAACTGTAATTCCAGGTAAGTATTTATTTATATAATATTGAATAACTATCACTGAAATTTGCAGAGCTGAACCTACTTTCACTGGACGGAAGACTGTGAGGAGACATAATCCAGCTCTTTAAAATACCGAGTGGCACAGCTAATATAGTTGTAAAGAGTCTGTTTTTAACTCAGGCTGTGAGTACTGAAAATGCTTAATCAACACATTATTAGCATATTGTAAAGCATCTTTTGAATCATTTGCAATTTATGTACAAATTAAAATGGGTAAAGTGAGAGGAGAAGATAATGCCTATGTCAGTCATTTTTAACATTCTTTTAAGTAGTTTACTTTGAATCCGTATCACGCTCGATATTCCTGATGCAGAAGTATTAACTGAAATGGTTGTCTTTAAGGCTGATAAAGCTGTACATAGATTGAGCTAATAGCCATTTTCTGTAAGGAATACTAAATTAATTTTGATTTTTGTACTGAAGAAAATTGTACAGAAGTCAGCTATTTGGTAATGGTCACTAACAAAAAAACCTTTAGTAATGTTATAGGTATTTTAAACTACTATATAATCTGTGGTAATGTATAATTTGTGAAATTGTCTGCCTAGCCGCCTTGCCATCATCGACATCTCAGGAATTCTAACGTTTTTTGACCTTGAGGCAAGACAAATGGACAGCACAGGCCAGCAAGTGACAGGTGAACATCTGAAATTTGAGCGCAAGGATGTCTGGGATATGAAATGGGCAAATGACAACCCAGATTTATTTGCAATGATGGAGAAGACCAGAATGTATGTTTTTAGAAACTTGGACCCTGAGGTGAGACTTTACAGTATAACAACAACAACAAAAACTTGGATTGATATAGCGCCCTCCACGCCGAACGGCGTCTCAGAGCGCTTTATAGTAACAGATACCGGTACCGAGCCAGGGGGAGGGGGAAGAAGGTGACCAAAGGCGTGGTCGAAAAGAAAGGTCTTCAGCAGAGACCTGAAAATGGGAAGGGAGGGAGCGAGATGAAGGGAGTGAAGAAGGCAGTTCCAGAGCCTTGGGGCATAGTGACTGAAGGCACGGCTGCCGAGGGTGGAGTTATATGTTATATATGTTATTATATGCTATATGTTATTAAAACCAACCCAATAATTCCAATTTGCTCTCATGGATGTGTATGTTTTTGTAAAATCCAAAGGGGTCATATTTTTAGAAAAAAATTGGTGTAGATTTTTAATTTCATGGGGTGCAGTATGGAAGGCTGGTGGATATAATTTTTGCAAACAACAGCAGCAAATTACGTTGGTATAGCGCCTTTCACGTTAGGAGGACATCTCAAGGTGCTGGCAAGTTTAATAGTATGACAAATCTATAGCATTTAGAAGCCTCACCACAACAAGTATTTGATTTTTCAAGAGTGTTAACATGGCATTGCTAAGGAAACTTATCATGGAATAGATGTGCTATTTAGATTATGTTGATGACAGTGGTGGAGAGCAGACTGAAGTTCCACGTATGTATGCTACTTACTCATGGAAATGTCCCTATGCCTGGTATGGAATGTTCACTCTCCCCCTGGAGATGCGCCCGGCTTGCTTACTAGCCGAGAGTATTAGGTATATGTTGAAAGAGCCAAGGGCGTGTGTTGGGGTTACTGTTGGGAGTTTAACCAGTTAACACTGCCTAGATTGCCATTGAGAACATTGTGTGGCAAAATTCTGTCTAAATAGACATTTGTTAGGTCAGGGTATTAAAGGATACGGGGCAAGGTTAGGTAATTAGACTTGAGGTACACATCAGACATGATTTTATAGAATTGCGGAACAGGCTCAAGGGGCTGAATGGCCTATTCCTTTTTCTATAATTCCCATTGCTGGTCCAGATTGCACCATCCTATCCGTTAGGGCTTTGGCTTGCAAAATTAATAGGAGCTGAGTGGGAAGAATCCCTGCTCTCAGTGACTGGTTGGCCCTTCCAAGTCTTAATTATCTACAAAAACAGTCCCTACACATGACAATAATTACTTGTGTGAAATGCTTTGAGACTTTTCAGTGTGCGACATGAAAGGCACGATACAATTGGGATGTCCTGCCGACGTGAAAGGCGCTATACAAATGTAATCTTGTTGTTGTTGTGCTAAGGTTCAGTAAAATGTAAGTTCTTTCTTCGTTAGCATACATTTGTTTGGAATTGTGTTTGTTGATCAGATGGAATGAAGGCTTTGTGGTAACAAAGTATTATTGGATTTGTGTTTGTAATATTCAGTAAAAAAAAATTCATATTTAATAATTACTGGGAATGTTTATTGTTTAAAATATCTACAGGAACCAATTCAGACATCTGGGTATATATGTAACTTTGAAGATTTGGAAATCAAGTCTGTGCTTCTGGATGAAATTCTGAAGGTAACACTCATTTCAACTACTTAGATGTTTTGCCATTCTGCATATTAAAAAAACGTATCTCTCCTCTAATGCTTAGTTAATTCACCTTAGTGAACTGAAATGCATTCTCTTTGTGTACTGCCTAAGTTCTGACTAGAAACAAATCCCTTAAGGAAACCTGAGGTTGAAATGTTAAATCAACAAACTGTATTTTAAAAGTCATTGGCAAGTTCTTGTTCTTTCCAATTTAGCTATTCAGGTAAACCCAGCTCACCAGCTTTCCCAAGTCCACAAACAACAGATCGTACAGAACTCCGCAGCCTGTATTGTATCCCACACTAGGCTCTCTGTGCCCATCATGCCCATCCTTGCACAGCTCCACTGGCTCCTTATTCCCCAGGGGTTCAATTTCAAGATCTCATCCTCACCTTCAAATAACAACAACTTGCATTTATCTAGCCCCCCTCTCACAGGGCAGCACTCCAGAGCGCTTAAAATGCCTTTAATAGACTTTGCTAACTCCTGTGACCCTCCTCCCCTGATCATTCACTCTGCTCTGCCACTCTGCCCTCCTCACCATTGGCTGGTGAGCCTTAGCTACTTTCACCCTTCCCTCTGGAGCGCTTGTGAATTCTATCCACTTCACCCTTTCCTGCTCTGCTTTCAAACTTCACATGAAGACCTCTTTGACTTTTGGCCAATTATGGCTTTTTAGTAGGAAAACTGAAGTAATATTGAAATTAAATATTATTAATGTGTGGTATAATAATAAAAAAACTAATGCAGTTTATTTTTAAATCCATACCTCTTCAACAATGTCAAGATCGCTTTCCTGGGGGTAATAATTCCTTCAAAAAAAAATAATAAATTGGTCACTCAATCCATGATTATTTGTGGGACACTATTGTGCGCAATTGGCTGCCACGTTTTGCCTACAAAGTATACAGTCAATTCACTTTACAGTATATTCTGTGAAGCACTTTGAGACGTAGGCAACGCAGAATGATTACATTGATTCATTTTCTGTAAAAGCTACCATGAAATATCAATATTGAGCAAGGTATCTTAGATTGGATAAACCAAAAGAGAGAGATGTTAGGAAGAACATATTTTTAAACTCTCGTGATAGGCCAGAAAAAATCTAGAAAATATTAGCCGTGTTCTCTATAAATTGCCCCAATGTCACATTGGGAATTATGACCCCCCCAATGTTGCACTGATTTTAAATGAAGACAAAACTAATAAACCTAGAAAGATCTATTTAAAAATGGTAAATGTGTAGAACAATCTGGTAATTTTTTCGTTAAGAAAGAATAGAATAGAGCTTTGGTGAGCTCAATTATATTTTTCTTGTACTTGAATTATGCTTACCAGAGCTTTCAGGTTGAGGAATGAGGTATCCGCCATCATCCACTGAGTTGGGAAACTCCTCTCTTGTTCATAATTGTATATAATTCCCCTATATTTTCTTCTTCAGATCCTACACTGCTTATGCAGCATCTTCTTTGCAGTTTTTGAGGAATGTGCTGAAACATGATAAGAAATTGACTTTCTGTTTGATTGTTTCTCACACCTATTTGCATATCTGTTTGTAATTCCATCACCACCTATCAGTATGCAATAGTGCCCTACTACTCTGTTACAGAGTGCATCAGTAAAACCATCACACTGTGCTAACTGGTTTTCCCATAGTGTTAATTTTAATAAATGACTTCTGTTGAAGCTTAATTCACCTGTGGATATACTTTGATATTTTGGGGGAATGTCTCTCTTTACAGGAACCAGGCCAACCAAACAAAGACTATGTAATTAACTTTGAAATCCGTTCACTACGTGACAGTCGCGCTCTGATAGAGAAAGTTGGGATTGAAGATGCGTCTTTGTTTATTGAAGACAATCCACATCCTAGACTTTGGTAAGGAATTAATTAGCAAAATGACGTTCTCTTATTCCATGCTTTCATATGTTGTTGTGCCTATGTTAGGTGATCTAACATTTACTGTCTGTAAGGTCCATTATTTCTAACATTTATTGTACCAAGGTATGAGATTAGTTTATAATCCCAAATTTCATGTGAGGCACCAATTTTGGGGTGGGGAGAAGGGGGAGTAGGAGATGTAAGAAATGTCTTCATTGTGAATATGATTCCATTTAACATACAATAGATATAACCTTCTGTATGAACAGTATGAGTGATCATTAGAATTTTATGGATCATATTACAACACTTTTGATATTGTTTTCCTATGAAATTATTTTCTTACAATATAAAAAAATGGCTGCCACTGTACATTCATACTTGATGATTAAGTATGCTGAAATAATTAGTATTTCAAGATAAATTAGTCTTGTTTGAATGAGTATTATTTCTAATCAAAATTGATCTATTAGCTATTTTTATGCTGCACTATAGAAGTCTACTCTCGGAGTGTTTTGATGTCTGTGGTGCATAAGCTACAAAACCAATGTGCCTGAATTTCTCCAGTTACCTTTTTGGCTTTAACTAAATAGAAAAGCCAAATCCAACTTGGCTTCTCAAAATGTTACTGCTTTGGAGATGAAATGTTAAACCTTCAATTTTTTTAAAAATAGAAAAAGCAAATTCCAGGGTGCTGTGTAAAGGACAAAATATACATAAGTTGTTATTGCTTCCTTGGATGTTTGACTGTGAAACAGTAATGGAATCATTTATGTATTTGTTTTGGAACTGCTGAAATGATTGATGCTCACAAGACCTGTGCAATATCACAGACTCAACTTGACTGTCCTTGTTAATTTTAACAAGTAAAGGTGGAATTTGGGTTAATGGATGATGTTTTCTTGTGAAAAACATTTGATCTATTGAATGTGAGCATAACTATCCTGAATTGGAAAATCATGATTAATTCATATAGCACAAGACAGGTATAGATGTAACCAAGCTTTCAACCCTTTTAATCTCATCCTTCCATAATGTCCACTCTGTCTTCCCTTTATGTCAGTCTTTCGGTCAAGATCAAGTATAATTTCTGCACTTGATAATAGAAATTGTTCGGATGCAAAGATTATTGTGTCCCTTTGGAAGGTAGATAGATCTCATCTCTTTTCATTCAGCTTTATATCTGTAATGTATTGCAATGGCAAATTGAAAATGTTATTCTGAGTGTTCTTTGTCAGTTTGTATTTTTGGTTAGCTGCATGTTTTGACACCTATCGCCATGTTTGAGTATTCAATCTAGACTGAGAGTACCACTTACTTCAATTCCATTTAGCATTGTATGCCTCTATTAGGTGTGACGGTTCTCACCTTCTTGGATGACCTCTGTTAACAATCATAGAAATTCGAGAAGCACTTTGGGCTAGGTAAACATTTAATTTTTTATATTGTCTTGTCATAACCCCAGCAATTCTGCACTAGCAACCTGTAAAACAAACCTGGCAACACTAATCCCAAAACACAACCTTGTTCAATCCAGAAGTGACTGACCTCGGCTCTAATTAATATATGAACCGCAAAACTGTTAGTTTTTCAGAGAATTCAACTCGAGACCTGGGGTTTCACTTTGTGCTACTTCAAATATCCTACAGCAGGCAGCAACAAAACCCAACTATGAATGGTTACTTCCTAATGGGATGACTGTATTTGTTGTATTTCAGGCGATTGCTTGCAGAAGCAGCCCTTCAGAAGCTTGATCTTAAGACAGCAGAGCAGGCTTTTGTCCGTTGTAAAGACTACCAGGGCATTGAGTTTGTAAAACGTCTGGGAAACCTTCAAAGCGAGTACATGAAACAGGCAGAAACAGCAGCTTACTTTGGAAGATTTGAGGAAGCTGAGAGAATGTATCTGGACATGGACAGAAGGTATTCATACTATTTGATTGAATATATTTTGAAATAAAATGGAACTGGTTTATGATACTGTTATTCCTGTACTGTACTTATGAAATCTTATTAAGATCTTATGAAAAAATATTTTCTTATTGTTTGCTGTTTCATATACTATATATGCCAAATACTATTTTTCAATTCCAGTAAAATGATTTGATGAATCTACGAATATGCATTGTTTGACTGAATGAAAACTGAACTGAAAAACTGAAGATACTGTACTACATTGTACTACCTCCACATACTACTGTAACAATGGCCTTCCTTGTTACCTTATTCCTCTTGTCAATTATTTGGTGAAATATTTCTGACTGAATTCCCCAATGATTCTTCTCTGAGTGTCTGCATACTTTAGGATGAGAAATGTTGTCTGGATAAAGACTTTTTTTTATTGGCGAGTTCCTATTTATGCTTGCAGGGATCTGGCTATTAGCCTAAGGATCAAGCTGGGAGACTGGTTTCGAGTACTACAGCTGCTAAAAACTGGCTCTGGTGATGCTGATGATGCCCTCCTTGAGCAAGCTTACAATGCTATTGGAGACTATTTTGCAGATCGACAAAAGTGGTATGCAGGAATAGAATTTTACAAAATTATTAAAATGTGCATTTTCCAGACTTTTGTTTGGAACTAGTTTACAAAATGAACTGGGTCTCTTTACTTGTTTTATCTTTCTTATTATGATATTCCCTCACAAAATACACATTCACTACACTTTGCAGTATATTTGAAGTGCATTGAAAATAATCTGTCAGAATTTAATGAAATATATTGAATATTCGTTGAATTTGATATCTAAGCGCTCTGGGACGCTATCCTGCGTGAGGAGCGCTATATAAATGCAAGTTGTAGTTGATTTCACAACAAAAGAATGTCTCAAAGCACAAGATATACTGTAAAATATAGTGACTATTTTGTAGGTGAAAGAAGCAGCCAATGTGTACACAACAATGTCACGAAAACAACCATGAAGTGAATGCCCAAATTGACAAAGTGAAAGTTTAATATTTGGATGGAGCCCATTGCATGTAGATGTATGGTTTTCAAAGAGGCATCATGCTGAATTTTTACATTGAGATGTAAAAATCTACTGTGTTCGGATGTCATGACACAGAATATTCAGACTGGCTCAGGGTAAAGACGAAAATGGCGAGTGCCTTGCTTCATTTCCTTAATTGAGTATTTCTATAGCAACCTAAAACATCAAGAGAAGAGCTGCTCAGTATTTCTGGTAGTGAGGTTTTGTAAACTACTTCCCCTATTGCTGGAGCTCAATGGGCAGTTGAGGTAGCTTGCAAAACGTGGCTCTGATTGTATTTACAGTTCATGACTTTTGCACCCTCCTAACTGTATAATTAAAAATGTGCTAATATATACTAACTCTATTTACATTTCATCACTAAAATTACGACCCCCATGATATGAACAGAGGACAAAAGATTCACATGTTCTAATTATCGTGATTGTCGTGAGAAAAATTATTATTGTTGATGGGACGTTGATGGTATTATCAAAACTAATTACTACTGAGCTTTGTTTCACTTTTTGTATTTATGTTATGTTGTTATATGTTTCTCCTTTTTGAGTCTCATTTATCATAAAAGGAGAATCATATTAAACATAGAAATATTATGTATATATGAGAAAAACGTGAACTGCTTTGAGACGTCTTGATGATGTGATAAGCACTCGCTATATTAAATGCAAGGATTATTATAAGGATTATTTTTGTTGCTTTCTTAAAAGTTGATTGTATCTAAGTATGCTGATACTATTACAGTAGTTCAATATTTATTCAAAGTTCCCTTTAGGTAACATGATATCCCAGCCTGAGGAATGTTGTGATACTAAAAAAAAATTAGAATATTTGAAATCATCTTTGTGCTTTCAGGATGAACGCTGTTCAGTATTACATACAAGGCCGAAATCAGGAGCGACTGGCAGAATGCTATTATATGCTGGAGGATTATGATGGACTGGAGAAGCTGGCAAACTCTCTTCCAGAGAACAATAAACTTCTTCCTGTAAGAATTGGGTAGAAAACATTCCCCCTTAGCTGAAATATAGAGGTTTATCTGCACATGAAAAAGGACCACTGATAAACAAAACCTAAGACTGCTCAGGCCCTATAGTTAGAAGTTCGAATACTTTTGAAAGCAGAAGTAACTATTAATATAGGCAATAGGTTTGTAATGCTTCATTACAGGCTATCACATTGAATTAGTTATGAAACAATGACCTTTCAGTGAATGATTTTAAGAAAAAGCTACCATTTTCTTTGGGTGGAACAAAAACTATACTTTTTTTTATCAATTTGTAGGCAACACCATAAGTTGCTTTTGTAAGATACCACCAAATTCAGATGGTTCACTATTTTTAGGTGATGACATCGTACCTTCTCACAATATGACCAAAATTGCAAGTGTTACTGGAAGTTAAACATTTGGTATTGCAATAAGCAGTTTAGATGTAAGGAAATTAATCAAGCATTGGTTGGTGAATCATTTGAAGCAAAATAAAATGAGAACTACAGTGCTCTAATCTGATTGCTTTCTTTTTCTCCAGTCCCCCTATAAAAACATCTGTTGTGTCTTTAGAATCGGTAGAATATCTCAAACGTTGAGATGGCGACAAGAATATCCTCTTAATTGTGGAGATCTTCAGTAATCTGTTATATTGTTCTAAAAAGTTTTTAAAACAGCAGAATCTTTTACATCTTTGATTTGTTTTACAGGAAATAGCTCACATGTTTGTTACTGTGGGTATGTGTGAGCAAGCCGTCTCTGCATTCTTGAAATGCAACCAGCCTAAAGCTGCAGTTGAAACCTGTATACATCTGAATCAGGTAAGCCTCAAAAGAACAACAAAACTGCAAATTCTTCATCGGTTCAAATAGGATGTATGTCAATTCAGCTGAAAAATAGGTTATAAGCATAACACTGTTTACTGGTACATGTTACAGGTTTGATGTCATCCGCAGTCTTTGTGGTGTTACATAACTTGCCTTTTCGTATGGTCACTATAGCTGAATCTTGTCACACATTGCTCTCTAGCCCTCGTGCATTTCAACTGCTTTCAGTAAACAATAGTCAGGGTTGGCCCCAGATCATTTTAGGAATCAGGTCTACTGTAGATCAGCGAATGTATGAGCTAAGAAAATAACTGGTCTGGTACACAAATTAGGTGGAATTCTGACCTTTTTACTAATAATATGATACTGGTATTGCAGCACAGTATCAGGCACTCACTGAATGGTAAATATTAGCCGTAATTCTGATCACCTTTTTACAGATCAACATTTTGGTACAGCAACCCACAGCACTATTAAAGTATCTTTACTTCACACATTTTATGCACCACAATTATGTAACTCATTTTAAAGTCCTCTTTTCTCATCTCAAAAATATTCAAGTGGAATAAAGCCGTTGAGCTGGCCAAGAATCACAATATGAAAGAAATTGGATCCCTTTTGGCTAAGTATGCATCTCACTTGTTGGAGAAGAATAAAACTCTGGAAGCTATTGAGCTTTATCGAAAGGCCCATCATTTCCTGGATGCTGCAAGGCTCATGCTTAAGGTAATTTGTTTTCTTGATAGCTTAGTACATTTTTTAATTTCATATAGGTATTAAGAGAATATTGTAATGTACTTTACAATTTCAAGCATTTGATTTTTCTAGTGTTGTAGATTGGAAAACTGTTAAATAATATTGCCCATTATTTTAGCGTGGATCAATTCTTACTGCTTTTTTATTTCACATTGTTAATGATTAGTGTTTGTGCATGATACATTCTATATCATATTAAATACCTTCTAGACTCTGATAATTCCAGGATAAAACAAATGATTCACTGATTATCAGCATGTTTCCTGTGAAAATACCTATAATCCATTTGATATTCGTGGTATTTTGAGCATCGAATTTTATAAATCTGATAATTGGGCTATACATTTAATAATAATCCTTGCATTTGACATGTATTATTTATTGACCTATCCATTCACAAATAAGACAAAAGAGATTGTTTGCTTGTTGAATGTTCATGTAAAAATTAACTCATTATTTTGAGTCTTGTAATTCAGTTTTGATTTTGCAGTCGATATAAATAGAACAAAACTGTTCTTCAGAGCAATGGTTTTCTTCTTAGGGACATTGAAGCAAAGGACCATTCCCTACCCATAATGCTCAGAAAGTAAAGCCATATTCTCAATTCAAAGATGAATCAACTGATAGGAAATCTGGTCATTAAAATGGTGGAGAGCAGTGAGATGCACCCATCACAACCCTCGCCTAATTAGTGTATCTGGCTAACTCTAGAATCTTGAAATTCTACCCAGATTGATGTTTAAGACCACTTTACCTTTTACAAAAAAATTAAGATGCGATATCAATTGGAATCTATCTCTACACAAAACACTCTTATGTTTAACGTGTAAGTACATTTTAGTATAATTAGTTGCATAATATCACTATAATTGAGCCTTACTTATGAGCATCGAATTTTTGAGTATTCACTTCTCAATTCACTCTAACCATTTCATCTTCCTGATACGCCACTCCCATTGCTCAGCAATCCCTGGCCTGCTTTATGACCCTGACCTATCTTCCCCACCATTGGCAGGTGGGCTTTCAGCCTTTAAGCACTTTGGGATGTCCTCCCGACATGAAAGGGTCTATGTAAATGAACATTTATATTGTAATGTTGTATTGAAAGATACTGGGTGCAACACAAATTTGCAATGTGGCATTGTACAAACTTTAATTACATAATAATAGAGTGGTTTGAACAAGTTCATTCTTGTTAATGTGTTCGTTTGTACTTTCATTAAAAGAAAACTTTTTAAAAAGTTAGTGATCAAACAAACTGCTTTCTTTAGATTGCTGAGGAAGAAGCCAAGAAGAGAACTAAACCTTTACGGGTTAAAAAACTTTATGTACTGGCAGCATTACTGGTGGAAGATTACCACGAGCAGATAAAGAACACTCAGAGGGCAAAAGTGAAAGGGAAGAGATCAGAGGTATTGCCTTTTTAAACTCAATTTTGGTCAATCTTGCAGTTTACTGATTATAATATAATGCTACAAAGCTAAATATTAAAGTCTTACAATTTAGTATTAATAGTATTGCAGCCAGCTTTCTGATTAATGATTGAAATATTTTAACTGATTTAATAATAAAAAATTCTAGTTGCTATTATTTGTGCATATGAATGGCTTTCTGCAAATGTTTATACTTAGAAATTTGAAGTACATTTGGAGGACCAACAAATAGTACATTTTATCATAGATGTTATCTTTCCCACAAATGGAAGGGCAGACGGGAGACAAGGATTCTTCCCACTCAGATCCTCTTAACCCTGTAAGATAAAGCCTTAGCAAGTAGGGTGTCCTTGCTGAACAAGTAGCAGGAAGTTTGCCAGATAGTGCTCTCAATGCTATGTAGCTTTAGCTGGTTAAACTTCAGCAGCAACCCAACATACAATCTGGGATCCTGAACCTCGACTCTCGCCAACCTGCACCTATTACCTTCTGGATTTAGATATGCAGGATACATTCCTTAAGGGAGAGACTGCACATTGCATTCCAGTCACACAGAAATTTCCGTACGTAGGTGGCATGCATATTGGAATTTTGTCTGGTTTGGATACTCTTAAATATGATGAGTTTCTGCATGTGGCAGACACTTGGCTGACCAAAAAAAACAAGGAACCTAATTCAAGAGACAGTTGGGAAATCTGCCACCCATTTTATTACAAGAAACTTCCTATGCCAAGGGCAAAATTTCATATGCTGGTCTGGCTAATACCAGGTCATATATAATTACCTTCACAACAGCTTACACCCATTGGAATCATTACACAGACTTGTATATTATGATTTCTGGGCACAATAAATCAGTCACCATAACTAATTCTGTCTTTATCCTTTTAACATAACAATTTTTTTGAATGTATCGAACTTCAGTGCCAATAATATTTGTAATGGGTGGAAAAAGTAATTTTAAGAAGATATTATGTTCTTTGGAGAATGGAATGTTTGTTCACTGAATGTACTTTATGGTCTAATGCCATATAAATTATAGTCTTTTTACTGTGTGGCTTTGAGCCTGTGAGGCTGCTTCCTGTTCTCAAACTCTGGTATTTATATCACTGATGTAAAGTAGCTTGTCTCAGACTGTTCAGAGGCGTGCCTCAAACATTTACAATAAAGAGCTCCCTGTGTTCCTTAGAACACCAGAAAAAATGTCAGCAAGACATGCTGTTGTTATGTGTTCCATCTTCGTACCTCTAACCTTACCTACTTTAGTGGACATTTCCTCATTGGATATCAGAGCATTGGCAGTCATTTGAGATATCCTTCTGATGTGAATATAAATTGTATTGTTGCCATAGATCTGTCTGAGAATAGAACAAGGCTCATCTATATAGTTAGCAATATCCTTCAACTTGGATGTCTTTCTTTTTTTTCTAAGGCTGCCTAAATTCGAGACTGAACGTTTTTCAGTGTTGCCCCTTATTTCGTCTTTGGAGTAACTATGTTTCAACTAGAGCTGCTACCTGTGCTCATTGATAACTCAATGCAGAGCTGTGGTGCACATAACTGTTATGAATGCTTTTATTTGGAAAATAATAATAATCCTTGCATTTGATATAAAGCTTTTCACATCTTCTCGAAGTCTCAAAGCACTTAGAGATACTTATCAATGTGATTCATATCTCCACCCTGTTCAGTCTTTCATTCACGCTTGTTTGCATGATGACCATTATGGTGTGACGTATTAAAATAACGTTGAACAGAAAATCAATTTTCTGCTGCCACAACTAGGGATTCTGAGCGAGGAAATCATTAGAATAGATGGTGTGAAAATTACAATATAATACAATTTACATTTATTTAGTGACTATCGCGAGTATATCTGCTTGACGCAGCTGGCTGGGCACTCGTTGAGGGAGTGGGGAGGGAAATAATAATAAATTGAATCATTCACACAGGTACAAGAGGTTTTTTCTGTGGTATAACTAAAGGATAATTCTTTAGACGGAGGAAGCATTATTAGGCACCTCGTCTAAATTATTGTCAAAGATGATATGTCAGATTAATATGAGGGATGAAATCATTTTGAATGGTTAAATCTGTCCATACTTGGAATAGTGTCCTAAAACTCTTACAAACTTATCATAACAAAGCACCCTTTGTTTCTTTTCGAAGATGTTGCATTTGTTTTTGACTTGCTTGCCTGACCCCAGCTTGGGTTTCAAATGCTGTACACTGTCCAGTGCCTTGGGATGTCCTCCCGACGTGAAAGGCGCTATACAAATGTAATCTTCTTGTTGTTGTTTGTTTCAGGCCACAACAGCACTGGCTGGGTTACTTGAGGAAGATGCATCTTTATCAGATAATCGTATCATTGACATTGCTTGGCGTGGGGCAGAGGCTTATCACTTCTTTTTGCTCGCACAACGCCAGCTCTACGAAGGCTATGTAGATGCTGCTATGAAGACAGGTAAAGCCTTCAAAACATTAGATGTGGATTGTTTGTTTTGCATTGAAAATGTGTCCTTAGATTATTTCACATTTGCTGAAATTTCACCCAAACTGTAAAGTGAAAATAATGTGCAAAATGGGGTGGGGGCATTTATCTGTGTAATGATTGTGATGTAGTAATAGAAAGTCGCCAAGGTAATTTATTTACCTAAATATTCCCGTGTTTTGTTATAACCTTGATTGTTGTTATTAGTATGATGGTTGTCTCTTGATAACAGTTATGTATATCTATTATAAGTTGTTTTTTCTGGAAAAATGGATGTAAATTGAGTTGTGAATTTGCAGCTCTTCATTTGCGGGACTACGAAGATATCATCCCACCAGTTGAGATTTACTCTTTGCTAGCCCTTTCTGCTTGTGCCAACCGAGCCTTTGGGACCTGTTCCAAAGCATTTATAAAGCTTGAATCATTAGAGACACTGACGTCAGAACAGAGCCAGCAATATGAGGACTTGGCACTTGAGATATTCATCAAGCATAGCCCCAAAGATGGCAAGAAATCTGATTTGGATAATCTCCCAGAAGGGTGGGTATAAATTGTTTCCTGTTTCAATATTTCATGAAGATGTTTCCATTGGAAATAGCAGTAAAATATCCACAAAGGGCTTGTTTACCAAACCATTACAGTTGATGTGTTTAAAGGCACTATACACATTAATGTGGTGCTGTTAGTTTAAATGATTGTGTTTGACAGATTCATCAATGTTGCAGTTTGCCCAATGAAACTAATTGGCGAAAAATGTGTTTTTTCGCAATAGATTTAGAACAGCGTCAGCTGACAATTATAATTCACTCCCCCCCCCCCCCCCTCCACACACACACATACACACTCCTTGGCCCCAATCCCAATGGTAGACCATGAAGAAGGGCCAGTTGCCATCTTGAATATTGTCTTATCTAGAGCAGGCCAACAATACAATTTCTTGACCCTAAAGACAACATTTCAATATTGCTGCTCAATCCATTTATATTAAGGTTGTATCCACTTTTTAAGTGTTACAAAACACTTGCTGGGCTGAATGATTAGGACCATGGAAATATTCTTATGGCTTTAGCACAATGGTAGAAAGCTGGATATCAGCAAGATATTATTTTCATGTCCTTGCTGCAAGGATGATTTGGATGGTAGAAATATCTGTGTCTCTAACAACCAAAATTTAATAATGGAGATATAACATTCTGGAATTATAAACGTTAGGAATGAGAAATTATTTATGCAGAATGTTACACTTAGATTAAATGTGTATTGAAGTAGATTGCATATAATCTATAGTAGTAATAGGATTGTTGGGTCAGATAACCCTTCCTTGTTATGTGCTTTTTAAAATTTTTGGTTCCAGTGATAATTTAGTATTTTAATTACTGCATTTTGGGTCACGTTAATACGGAAAGATGCAGAACTAATGTAAATTGTCTCTGAATGAAATGAGAATGTTATCCTGTTAGGCTTGTCTGGCAATACATCCAAACAAGGTTACATCAGCTTCACTTGATGATATTCTCCTGGTAAGTATCTTCTTATTTGCGAGACAGTGGTGCTGAACTTCTGTATGGAGCAACAGAAAAGGGGACAGCTCTGATTGATTTTCTGTTCTCAGATGGACTAGCAATTTGATTCCATGCACATAAATATAGTCATGGATTAATTATCAGTGTCATAAATGATGCACCATATTTATTGCAAAATGTAACTGATGGAAAATGAATAATGTGTGATTTTTTTTTCCAGCAGAGGAGAAGGGAAACTTCCAACTTGTATTGTGACAGGACGGCCAATTGCAGATTACCAGTTCTGGATGTGCGGCATCTGTAAGCACTGTGCTCATGAACAAGACATAAGCAACTACACTTTCTGTCCGCTTTGTCATAGTGCCGTGGGGTAGATCAGTAAATACTAAACACAGACATTTTAACTGTGAGTTGTTAGTTTAGACCCTTTTGCCACATAAAATGAGTTTTTATAAATTAACTTTGTCATTACTTCAGTGTGTAAGTTTTTTTTTATACTTAATAACATAACTTAGTCTATACAACTAACGTTTAATGCCATTTCTTCATTTACTTTTCAAACCAGTTACATTATTTGAATGTGATTTAGAAAAATGGGAAGATGAATTTACCAAATAATATTCTTCATATATGTTCAGTCCTGACAATTTTCGGTAAACCAGTCAGATAACCGTTGATTAAGGCTGCAGATTTGGCACAGCATTTTTTGTCAAAAATCGCGGAGCAGTCACAGTGAATGGTGCAGGTTTACAGGAAAATGTTGAGAAAAGTCACAGGTATGGAAATTCAGTCAAACCTTTTCATACCCAATGTCTAAAATGGGATACAATAAAAAAAACCTTACCGATGAGTGTGGGAAGCGGCTGGGCTGTGTGTGTGCATCCGTGTGTGCAAGAATGCTTTGAATTTCTTGCATTAATCTTGAGAGAGGCAGGCACATTGAATTGGAGCCGGGAGGAGACCGAGCTGTGTGCAGGCAAGCCTTGCGAGAACAGTTTGAATTGCCCGCATCAACCTTGAGAGCGGCCGGCACATCTGCCAGGCTCTCAAGGTTAATCAAGTTTAATGCAGGAAATGTATGGGGGTCGGCTTTGTCACGGACAAACAGAAACATCACAGTATCCGTGACATTTTTTCGCATGTGACAGACTTGGAGTCCTATTTAGGATTATTCATAAAATCGCTGACCAGGGTACATTCAAATATGATGAGAGCTTGGTTGGACTGTTGCAAAGTTCAAGCAATTTGTAAACATCTTTTGGACCTAAATTGGTTTTGTTACCCAGTCTGATACTAATATATTTTGCTACATTTAACTCAACAAATAATACTCATGTTATTTTTATACTTAATGAACTTATGGTCCTGCAAGGTCAGCTGTAAAATAAAGATCTTGTAAAGGTATGTTACACGACAAAATGAGGCGAAAACCATGGTTCAATGAAAGATTTAAGGTAAAGTAAATCACATCAGATGACAGGAGGGACAATGCAGGAAAATATTTTATTGTGATACTATGGGGGTTATATCGCTACTGTATATTAAAGCATTTTACTTGAGTTTGAATGAAATTTGAACTAATATTTTCTAGACATGTGACCCTTATCTGAGATGTTATGAAGAATGCTATATAAATGCATGTTCACTGATGCATATGTACATACATGCCACTTGACCTACATTTACTACATAGAAATATTTGATAAAGCTGGTCTGAACAACAAAAATCATTTGTCAACAGCAATAGTTATTTTATTGGGGGCCAAAATGACTATTTGTAACAGGATTTCTTAATAAAAATTCCAAAACACAAATGGGGGTTCCTTCCCGTAAGTATAAACTAGTCCCCAAGTAGATTGTGCCCGACTTATTTGTTAGTGGAAAGAGCCCCTTTTGCAACACTAAAGTTCTTTTTAAGAAATTGCCATATTTTAGACCACATAACTGCGAGAATCCAAGCTTCTCAGCAGTATTATCTTTTTGCAGTCATCAGACATATTCTATTTTGTTAGCTCTACAAAATTTAATTAAAAATTACTAAATACATTTGTTTTGGCAATGACACTATTTGATTTATTTAGTGAGGTTTAACCACTTGATTATTGAAGGTAATCTATTCAACATAAAATACAATAAGGCTTGTAGATTGTTGTATGTAATGAGATCAAGGAAGTTTGTTTCAGATATAATGTTCTGTGATATCCTGAAGCAACTCTATGGTATTTTTTCTTACCTTTGTGGACAGCCTATTAACTAGGTATCTAATGTTCAAAAAAGTGTTGTGAAAAGTTATTTTTGGTGTAAAAATTAATTTACAACACCAATATCTTGTTTATAAGATTTGTACAACTTATGCTGTATGCAGTGGTAACCTGATTCCTTGCACTTCAATCTTAAATGTTTCCTATATAAAGTTATTTTAATAATATTAAAATCTGTGTTGTTTATTTCTGTATGTTTTTTATAATGCAACAACAGTAACTTACTCTCTAACACAATAAATTAAAAAAATTGGAATTTGCAGAAATGCAGCATCTGACCATCTTTCAGAGCAGCTGAGATTCTGCTCCAGGACTCGAGTTACCTAAGAAGCTGCAAAACATCTACCTTCCCTCCAATCATGAGAACAGCAACAAGTTAACCAAGTGATAGGAATACAATGAGTCACTCAGGTGAAATTCAGGCTCCAGCCAGCCTCTGAACTAGCAATCAACAGGCAGGCAATTTTTATGCCCCATCCTTCAAAATTGAGTGAGATGCCTTGCAGTTGATCCTGATACAAGTGAACTTAAAACCACCACAAAATACCAATTTATCAATACAGAAGAAAGCAATGAGGTTGATCCCTCGTGGAAAGAGTAGTAGATAAAGACTTCAAAAGCCATGATGGCCTCTTGAACTTCAAAAGGAGACTTCTAAGAAGAGATCTTTTGGAGGTATATAAAATCAAAGGGCTGAAAGGCCTTCATCTGAAGCTCTCATGAGTAGGAGCAGTCCACCAACGACAACATATCTTATGAGATAATAGTGTATTGATCAAGCTGCCACCTATGTATATGACCTCATTTTTTTTGTTCTTGATGAATGCAGCACATTGAGGCCCTGATTCAGGCAATATCAACACATGACTATCTTCCTTAGGGGTGGCTTCGAGGTCATGGAATATTGGAAACAAGTTGATGCTTTGTGGTGGTCTTGGTAATCTGGTTTCTGAGTCAGACAGGCCTGCAATACTCCAATGCAATACTGATGACAGTCCAGCCAACTTGGCTCATCAGCCATCTGCTCTTGGAGGGGCAGACCCATCAGTGGGGGCTGTGGTTCTTCCCACTCAATTCCTGTTAACCTTGCAAGCCAAATTTCTAACGTTGATCCAAGCTGGACAAGCAACAGTACTCAAATGAACAAACCAGAAGTTAAGCTGTTCTAGCTTAGTAAGTTCAATTTACACCTAATATATGAATTTAGGCAAGCAGTCTGCTCCCTCTGGGGAGAGTACATACTTTATTCCAGACAAACAGGAAATTTCCTAATAGATAGCATGTAGATACCAAACTCCGGTTTGGATACTGGGTTTCTGCATGGGTCAGACATTAGTCATTTGTACACATTCTGAATAGGGTCAAAGAAAGTTGCTTGTCTCCAGGTGAGCATCACATTTCCCCTTTCCTCTGAAGAGGAGATTGCTGATACGTATGAAAAGAATTATTCTATTAAAAAAAAGCCCCAGTCTCCCAAAGCATTTCCCATGAAGTGGACTTGCCATAAATTAACTTTGATGAGTACCTTCATTGTGTCCTACTATTAAGACATCTGTCTATGTGGTCAAATCCAGGTTTCACCATCTGGTGCACATACCTAATTTACTGCCCTCACTCACTGTCCCCATCCTCCTCCTCATATGGTCAGCAGCCAAAATTAAATGGGAAAACCTATTGCAACCCAAAATGAGTCTCTCCACACTGTACCAGATGGAGCAAACCTGTGAGCAGACAGTAGTGTGTGAGCAGACAGTAGTTTGGGATGAGGGGGAGTGAGCAGACAGTAGTGTGTGGGGGGAGTGTGAGCAGTAGTGTGTGTGTGTGGGGGTGTGTGTAGGGGGGAGGATGGTGTGTGGGGGGAGGAGGAGGGTGTGTGGGGGGTGTGGGAGGGAGGAGGAGGGCGTGTGTGGGAGGGAGGAGGAGGGGGTGTGTGGGAGGGAGGGGGTGTGTGGGAGGGAGGAGGGGGTGTGGGGGGAGTGTGGGGGGAGGGGGGAGTGTGAGCAGTAGTGGGTGTGTGTGGGGGTGTGGGGCGGGAGGGGGTGTGGGGGGAGGAGGGGTGTGGGGAGTGTGAGCAGTAGTGTGTGTGTGGGGGTGTGGGGGGAGGAGGGTGTGTGGGGGGTGTGTGTGTGGGAGGAGGAGAGGGTGTGGGGGGTGTGGGAGGAGGAGGGGGGGTGTGGGGGAGGGGGAGTGTGAGCAGTGTGTGTGTGGGGGTGTGGGGGGAGGAGGGTGTGTGGGGGGTGTGTGTGTGGGAGGAGGAGAGGGTGTGTGTGTGGGAGGAGAGGAGGGTGTGTGGGAGAGGAGGGGGGGGGTGTGGGGGAGGGGGAGTGTGAGCAGTGTGTGTGTGGGGGGAGGAGGGTGTGTGGGGGGTGTGTGTGTGGGAGGAGGAGAGGGTGTGGGGGGGGTGTGGGAGGAGGAGGGGGGGTGGGGGGAGGGGGGAGTGTGAGCAGTGTGTGTGTGGGGGTGTGGGGGAGGAGGGTGTGTGGGGGTGTGTGTGTGGGAGGAGGAGAGGGTGTGGGGTGTGGGGGGAGGAGGGGTGTGGGGGTGTGTGGGGAGGGGGGGTGTGGGGGGAGGGGGGAGTGTGAGCAGTGTGGGTGTGTGGGGGGTGTGGGGGCGGAGGGGGTGTGGGGGGGGAGGGGTGTGTGGGGGGGTGTGAGCAGTAGTGTGTGTTCCTTCATTACGTCGAGGCTCGACTGTGCAACTCACTGCTTGTCGGCCTCCCCAACTCCTCCCTCCACAGGTTGCACATCATCCAGACCTCTGCAGCCCATGTCCTCTCCCGCACTTGGCTCCGCGACCCTATCACCCCCATCCTCACCCATCTCCACTGGCTTCCCATCACACACAGAATACAATTCAATATCCTGGTCCTCACATTCAGAGCCCTCCACGGTCTTGCTCCCCCCTACCTCTCCGACCTCCTAACCCCCTACCACCCTGTTCACTCCCTCCGCTCAGCGGGATCCGGCCTGCTTCATGTCCCCCCCCTTGCTCACCCCACTATCGGCGGGCGGGCCTTCCGCCACTCTGCACCCACCCTGTGGAACTCCATCCCACAGTCCCTCTGTCTCGTCCCCTCCCTCACCACTTTCAAGACCCACCTCAAGACCCTCCTCTTCAACCGTGCTTTTGATCTCTCTGCTTCCCACCCTGCCCTTCACCCTCCCCGACCCTCAGCTCGGGTCCGAAACTCTGTCTATCAGTGCCTTGGGACATCCTCCCGACGTGAAAGGCGCTATAACAAATGTAATTTTGTTGTTATCCCAGAGTGCACACTGGAGTAATGCTGGAGTTGTAACCAATTAAAACCACAAAGTTTGCCATTGTGAGCATTGTCTGTCAAACATCCCACTGCTTATCCTTCTAGGACCACCCTATCTGTTAGGGGTTTGCTCAGGCTCCCCGTCAGCTTTCTGAGACATCCTCCCGAGATAAAAGGCTCTATAGAAATGTAAAATTGTTGTTTGGCTTGCAGGGCTAATGGGAGCTGAGTGGGAAGAATCCCTGCTCCCAGTGACTTTCTGGTTTCAAACCTAATGCGCTTTGAAGAGAATATCAGCGCACCAACTTTACCACTGCATTTGGGATATGTTGTATCCAGGAACATGATTTGAGAAATCCTTAAATTGGATCGTAACTGGTTTGTTTGCCAGTGTGGCAGCAATCCTCAATTACTAAAGTGCTAACGAACCTGACCTCAGCATCTCATTATTATTTACGGTTTAAAAACTTGCTACACGTGACGTCTCAACTCTGGAAATACAAAATTGCAGAATTATAGCATGCAGTCATGAACTTGTGCCAGTGTATTCATGTTGGGGAGTCAATTTCATTTAATTCTGAGACTTGATGTTGCCATTAATGACATCTGGAGCTTACTAATTGATAATGTTATTTCTTGATCAGCAAATGCAATTCAGAGGACCTGGCGACTGCATACAACAATAGAGGTCAAATAAAATACTTAAGGGTAGACTTTTAC